CACATCCAGCGTATGTAATTAACAAAGTGTGAAAATGCCAGGTTACGTACAATACAACACCTGGAAAACACCGTGAAACATATGGGGAACAAACATATGGGGAACATGTAGGTACATAATACAATAACATAGACTAACCAACACAACTAGACTTCCCATCCCATTGTAAAATTTTAAGCTCGTTTTTCGTGTCAAGTTCATGTCCGACACTGATCGCTAGTGTCGACGAAATTTTGTTTCTATAATTTTAGAGGTAATTCCATAGTTTGTGCTTTACTGGGTTATATAACTAGGGGACGAGTTATTGTTTTGACTATAACGTTATATTTGGTTAAGTTTTAAATAACGAGAAATAATTGTAAACAAAACCCGACATCTACAGTGCACCTGACAGAACTAACAATAAAATTGGCTTCAGCTGTTCGATAAGGATGAGAAATATAGGAGTGTGTTTTATATGTTTTATCTATGATAATATAAAAACACCTAGAAACCGGCATTAAATGAATGAGAAACACCATTAAAAATTATGGAAACATTACTGAATATCTGAGAAACATCATTAACACATGGGTAACATTAACAATTCGTGAAAACGCCATTGGACGCATAGGAAACGCCTTTTAATATCACTAATAGTTTTTTGTATACATCATTCGCTTACCGATTAGGAAATTTTTAAAGTTCAACGTTATAGAGGAATCATGTATGATTAAAAGCAGTGTGAATTGATTTCATGAGTTGAGTAATATTTTACCGTGCTACGTTATAACCTGTTTACTTACCGTAGAAAATGCAAGGGAGAATTTTAGCGTCTATAAATTGCTTTACCAGACACATACGCCAATGGAATATAAATTTACAATTTTATTGGACAAACTTTCAATTAATCCTGCTTAGCTGTTTGTAGAAAAAACAGGTTCATGATTCCGTTTTATTGACTCTAATCACAGATTTCGCTGTGCTCTAAAGCTTTAATTATGTGGCGCTTTTAAAACCACGTCTCTTCCACTGTGCCATAAGCATAGTTTATGACTAGTATTAATGATACGGTAATTAAAAAAGTTGGAGGTGATTTCATTTAATTGAGGAAATAAACTTAAGATCTAGAATCAATAAACGTAAAATATTTAACTACATAAATCATCCGATCTTATTAGTCGTGGGTATTTTACTTAGAAGTAAAATTATATTCGCAGTAATTTCAACTGAAAGACTAAAAATGCACGGTAGTTTTGCATAAATATTAATTTGTTAAATTTAATATGGTCATTTACTTTTTAAATGATTATTAAGACTTAAAAATATAGTCCTAAAAAATCTTTCTGCACGTATGTTGCTAAAAATATTTCCTGATAGTCGTTGAGTGTGGCTTGTGTCAGGGTAGTAAAGAACCTGACACAAAGGTATGTAAAATGTTTAATGCATGTTGCCAAGCCACTAACTAAAGAAGACAGGTGTGCATTGCTATTTAGAACATTCGAAGGATCTTCACCTGAAGACGGGATTAGATTCCAGACTTCGAAACGTCGTGAAAATATTTTCACTAAGCGTGATGGAGAATGTCCGCAGACCGCAATATTCACATAATATTGACCTACTAAAAAGGACATAGGAAAAGTATTATATATTTAATATACATAATATTTACCCAAAATCTGGGCCGCTTACATGCCTTAAAGTGCCAATAAAGCAAGAACCACCCGAAATTAATTCAATATCGAAGTAAAATATAAATACCCCCGCCGCAGCAAACCTGCAGACTAAGCGAATTTCCATTTGACTGATTGGATTTACACTGGAATGTCTACTTAAAAATATAACATTTATTCTCGATTTAATTAGAATTAGTTTAACAAGTACTTAGGTTTGCTGCATCAGGGAGGGTAAAACTGTTTTTTTTTTTGTAAAATGTTAATAGTTAGTAAGAAATAAAAACATTTTCCAAATTTGATCAAAATATGTTCATAAACAAGCAAACTACAACAGTTTACTTATTCTCCATAAGAATAACATGGGAATTTTAAATTTAAAATTTTTTGGAATTTTCTCCGTAACCATTAGGCGCATAATAATGCTTCAATATACTAAATTATTTGTTTTTTTAAACTCTACAAAATGGTTTCGAAATAAATTGCTAAATTTTATGTTTTTTGGGTCAAAAATGGGAAAAACCTATTTTTACCCCATAAAACCCCCCGTAAACCCCCGTTCCCATGGTCCGATCATGCTGGATCGCGAACTAGTTCGAATAAACGTAGGTTTACACGTTTGTACCAAATTTCATCAAAATCGGATCATTTTTGTTCGAGTTATCGTGCTAACGGACACACACACATATATATATATATATATATAAATATATAAATATATAAATATATTAATATATAAATATATAAATATATAAATATATAAATATATAAATATATAAATATATAAATATATAAATATATAAATATATAAATATATAAATATATATATATATAAATATATATATATATATAAATATATATATATATATATATAAATATATATATATATATATATGAATTTGAACGGATGGTGTTTTTGGCCTCTAGGGACCTCAAAACGAAAAAAAAAATTGGTCCCGCGTCCAGGTCTTACCATGAGTACTACGGTAATAGCTTATTCCCTATGTGGGAAATTCGCTAAAAGATCTACACTTTACAGGAAGGTTTTTTTTCTCATTGAAATAAGACTGGAATCAGTCAGTCAATTCTAAATTAGTTGTTTTTCTGCTTCAAGGGACTGTAGCTGTTTGCGAACTACTCTGATTTAGGTTTTAAATTAATTTGTGGTGAAAGTAAAGAGCATTCTAATTCACTATCGTAAACACGCCATCGTATCGAAATAATCCTAAGCTATTTGCTACAACGGTAAAAGTACAAAATAACAGTTTGTGTCTATAAGGATTTTCTTGCAGCGGACGCTTATTCATACTGCCTTATAGATCCATTGTATTCACGGATAAGGAATGACATGTACATAAGCAAAATAATTACGTAACTATGGTCCAAATATTATACCAATACTGTAACCGTAACAGCTGATTTGGACGTATTTGGCTGTTCATATTACAGACTTGTTTAATTTTGGGCCAGTGGCGTAATTTGTAAATATTTATGATCCATACAGTTTCTGTTCTAATATCCGTGATTTTATCCCACTATTTTTTTTTTTTTTTTTTTTTTTTTTTTTTTTTTTTTTTTTTTTTACTTAATTTTATTTTACAATCTGTTCAGTACTTTGAACAATTAGTAAAAGGGATAATATAAATAAGTGTCTTGACCAAGAATCTTCCCTGTGAAAGATCTTGCAAAATTAAATAGTCATGTCATAACTAAAACTATACAAATCGGTATGGGAGTTCTAGAACTTTCACAATTTTCAGTCTGTTGGGAAAATCACTATTGTCCAGCAAATTAACGGCTATATTGTTCGGGTGGGTTTCGAGTTTTTCTTGATAGTTCTTGCTAATTCTTGTTATTTCTTCAATTACTGTAGGTATTCTGAAATCTTCATGGATTGTTCGATTCGAAACAAACCACGGAGCATCAACTATTCTTCGTAGCGCCTTTGACTGAAATCTTTGAATAATTGCTAAGTTGGATTTACTTGCCGTTCCCCAAAGCTGTATCCCGTACGTCCAAATAGGTTTGATCATAACTTTGTAAAGTGTGAGTTTATTGGTCAACGAAAGCTTAGATTTTTTGCCTAGAAGCCAGTTGAGTTTACGAACCTTCAAGTCCATTTGTTGTCTTTTAAACCAAATATGTGTTTTCCAAGTTAATCGTTTATCCATATGGAATCCTAAATACTTAACGCTGTCCACTTCTGTCAACGCTATATTGTTCAAAGTAACTGGAGGGCAGTTTTCTTGTCTCAGCGTGAATTAACTAAAATTATCTATTTTTATACAGCTGAGCACATCATGTCCGATGAGTGTAGAATAGAGACCTATATAGCTTTGTCACAAACTAAAATCAGCTGTTTATTTAGCAAGATTTTTTATACCCAGACTTAATCAAATTCATTGTCAAGCTAAATTATTTTTGAAACATACTATATATGTTTCATAATTGACCTGTGAGTTTTCAGACTTATAAAAAGTGAATTTGTCAACGTTCGATAGAGATAGAATACACATTATTTGTTTACCCAGTAAACTATCAAAATTTCAAACTTTATATAGGAGACATTTAATATAAAAGAGATCGAACCCATCCATCGATGAATATAGTCTAACGATGTATATAGTTAGGATATATACATCGATGAACCCATCAGTAGGACATACATGTCACACGGTGTAAACATTTTTGAAAAAAAAAAAAAATAATAATACAAATCTAGTTTACTTGATTATCAAAACTTGCTCTCATATGGCAATGAACAATATTTCTTCACAAGTGAAATTACATATACGAGTATATACGTTTACTAAAATGAACGCACACACTTGTAGGTTTGTTTACCTAATAAATTATTCTGGATGCACCAAGAAAAGCTGTTTCTATGGCTACAAATCCATCAAGTGAGGATATTTCTCAACAGAAGACATCACTTTCTCTCTACATAAAGCAAGTGGAAGAGGTCGGAACTGGTTCTACTGGCTCACTGGTTCAGTGTCATTCAAGTGACCTTGAACTCAAAATGTCCTGTATTGTCAAATGATTTGGCGAAAAGAAAAGTAACTGGTTTCTGACTAGAGCAAAGATCTTGGAGGATCTATAATCATGTATTCAAAACTAATTTGTCAATGCCTATTTAATAAATGTGTGTCATAGAACTTAACTAATTTGAATTATTAATAGTAGTTTCATTTATGTTTAAAAATTATAATATTAATCTTGAAAAAAAAAAAACTGTGCAAGAAAATGTAATTTATCTATGAGAAGAACAGTAGCTCATATTTGAATAAAGGGAGATCAATAAATAATTAATTAGTTTGAGAAATCTTATAACCTAATCTGTTTCAGAAAACAAAAACCTGATGAGATATGAGAATACTTCCCGTGGTCCTCTTGGTTTGGATAGGCAGCCTTACAAACAGTGAGTTTATAATAAATTTACTTATAAATATAAAAAAATTTTAAATATTACAAAACCTCACGAAAGTATTATTGATATTTTTTTCAAATAATCTCGCACAGGTACAAGCAATTTTTTTAGCCTACATTTTTTTTATATCAAATTGATTTGGTCATATTTAGCACTAAAAGATATTTGAAGTTTTCAGAAATGATGTAAAAGAGGGTACAATTGGTTAGGGATGTATCACTGAGATATCAATTATGTAATGTTGATCAGAAATTGTTTTTCTTTATCAAAATAAAATTTAAATATAAAATTGTTCATGCTTATTTTTATTAATGCAAAAATAACCTTGTAGATGAATAATGCTATTTTTTATTAATTTAATAAAAAAATGACAAGAAAAGCTGATTCTTTATTTCAAAACACTATAGGCCTATATATTAATTGATATATGTAATTTTTGAGTGATTGAAAAAAAAAACATAATAAATTCTAATTTATTTCAACAATTAAACTAACAATCAGCTGATTTTATGTAAAAAGGTAACTCGTTTACATTTAAAAGGATCTTTAATGCATACATGTGATTGTAGTTATTGTTTTAATGATAATGATAGCTTATTGTCTTATTTCCTAACAAATTACACCTTAAGGAAATGATTTATTTGCAGATGCTGAAACAAAATGGATTCCAAACTTCTTTATACCAGAAGAGGTGCAAACTATTTTACAACTTGCATACTCGAAGTTGCCTCCAACAAAAATAGGTATGGTGTTACTCATATAAGTTTAATACGATATTCAAGGTTTCGGTTTCATCATCAGCAACGTATTACAATATACATTTGTGGAGATGGAACTGAAATAAATCCTTAATTTGCAAGATAAATACACATATTGTCATCAGCTGATACAAAAGAATGACCAATCTAAAAATATAGGAGGAATAAGGTTTAATTTTACACCTTAAACAATAAAATATAAAAATATTGTAATATTTTAATATTGTAAATATTGTAATTTGTTATGACTTGGTATGTGTCTTTATCATTACAAGGTTCCTTTTTACTTTCTCCCCCTATACCATAGTATATGGAGAAAGTATTGTTTTCGTCAAAATTTTCGAGTTTGAGTTTTGAGTGGATATATTCGTTTTGGGTCCCCCTGGACCCAAAAAAGTGGTTTTCGAAGTGATGTCTGTGTGTGTGTGTGTGTGTGTGTCTGTGTGTCTGGATGTGTACAGAGCTAGAGACTACACCTGTGGTCCGATTTCTATGAAATTTGGTATGTAGGTTCTAATCCATGGTATCTCCAGGTGTTTTTTTCATTTTTTTGAAATTTTGATTTTTAATGGGGATTTTCCCATAAAAACCCATAAAAAACCGGAAAAATCTAATTTTCTCAAAAATGGCCCGAACGATTTTGATAAAAATTTAGTATGTTGTAGCCCTTTAAATTCTTAACAAAATGGTACAAATCCCATTTCTCTAAAAATTACGGTTCGAAAGTTATGGTAAATTATGTTATTTTCCCATAAAAACCCCATAAAATAACGAAAAGTAGGATTTTAGAAAAAAAATCCGGTTGTAATTTAACATTGTATGTTATGGTCCTTACAATTTTGATAGTTTTTTAATTTTTTTAGAAATTTTGATTTTTGATGGGGATTTTCCCATAAAACCCCATAAAATTACGGAAAAAAGGATTTTCCCAAAAACGGCCCGAACGATTTTGATAAAAATTTAGTATTTTATAGTCCTTTATATTCTGAACAAAATGGTACAAATCCCATTTCTGTAAAAATTACGGTTCAAAAGTTATTGTAAATTATGTTATTCCTATAAAAACCCCATAAAATAACGGAGAAATCGGATTTAAAAAAAAATGGTCAGAACGATTTTGATAAAAATCGTGTATGTTAAAGTCCTTTAAATTCTGATCAATATTGTACCAATCCCATTTCCGTATATTTACTCTCACCGCTAACACATGATAAAGGTTGTTGACAAACTTATGGGAGAAAGTATGTGTCAGAATGCTGATACCGTTTATTTAACACTGATATTATTTTGTCATACTAAGCAAGGCCTCACTAGTAAGGCCTTCAAATATTTATAACTAAAATAAAGGTTAATTTAATTTTATTTTATTCTGTTAAATTTACTTATGTTTTTTTTTCTTCCTTTAAATATTTGTGTACATATTCTGTAAATAATTTGTTGGAATAAAGAGATAATTCATTCATTCATTCACTATTCTACAAGATTTAAAATGTTTGTTTTTAATCTTCAATTGACTTCCAATGCTGGAGTAGACTTCCTAAAGACCACCTTTAGCCTTTAACTTTTTTGTGAACCTTTCATAGAGTGTTCTTCTATTTAATTAAACTATTCTCTATCTTTTGAGGTTTAACCTTGTTATAGTTAGGAGTCATAAACAATAGTACAGTTTAAGAATAAATTGCCTAAGTTCAAAAAAATTTTAATACTGTGTTCGGGGATGGAAATAAAATATTATTTTACATCATTGCACTCAAACTGTCATTGGCTAAAATTTTAGTATTTTTCAACTGGCCACACTCCGACGGTTTAGAGCTAATGTATCTATACCGTATTCAAAGATTCTACAAACTACCTTCCCAACACTTGCGGTAATCAAACACAACAGCTGTGACAAAATGATGTAACAATAATGATGAAGAGATGGCGACATTTAAAGTAATAGCTCAGCAGAAAATCACCAGTCATTGTGCCGTACTATCTGTCATATTGTGTCATAAAATATGACTTCATCATATGAGATGTTGTTTTTCTTGTTGATTGATTTTGCCATGGCTCCATGCTTCATATGGTTGTAGAACTTTGGTAAAATGTACAATGTAACACAGCAATGGATACAAATATGTTTAAAACGTCAATATAAGACTATTTTTACTTTCTGATTTAATTTCCAAACGTTACTTTTTACAATGTGAAAAATTTTGATGTCCACAACTTCTTTGTTTCTTAGGGATGGTAAAAAATCCTTTTAGCCCTGCAATACTGTTATTAATTTTTGTTACAAAAAATAATTTTAGCGCAGGCAGAGAGAAGTAAGGTACGAGGCAACTTGCCTATGGGACGGCCGTGCACTTTTAGCTCTAGTATGTTGTGCTGGAAATATCATACTTGACGAGCAAGGAAAAGAACCTGAGCGGCGAGCACTATTCCTATTGTGCAGGGCATAGAGTCGACCTCTAACGTGAACACAGTCCCGTCTCAGTACATGAGGGCGAAGAGGATGGTGTTTGACCTCATCTTAGACACCAGTGACTAGTGCTAGACACCAGTGACTAGTGCTAGACACCACTTAAGGATGAATGTTTCCTCTGTATAGTACCTTACTTCTCTGTGGCACAGGAAAAACCGTTTCAGTTAATACATTTGAATAATTTTGCATGTAGAACAATTTTTTAGGTATGTTAAGGGAAATGCATCATATTCATTGTTAGCGTTAGCCTATAATAACTAACCATTTATTGTCAGTTTGATTGTTTGTAGGTTCAGATAAGAGGTTTGGAGTTGGTTTTCGTCTCGGGAAGAATGCAGACGCTCAAATTCTCGTAGAGCTTGGTCCTCAGTCTGAAACACAGCCTCTGGAAGAACACAGCAATGACTTCAGTAAACGTCAGAGCAGACAAAACCCTCTCACAGACTACAAGAAAAGAAACGAAATATTCACCGAACAAAAGAGCAACCATACAAAGAAGATTAAAAGAAACCAAAACAAAACAACCAATCAGAAGCGAGCTATACCCACTTCAAGCGTAGAAAACGGACATGATTCTAGTGTGAAACAAAGAACTCCGCAAAACTATGAATCTTTTGGAGACATTTTTATGAGATGGTTCCGATGGCTTTTACAACCAAGAGCGGAAAATGTTAAAAACGTGCCCAAAGAAAAGCGGGATAGTAATGTAAAAAGTGTAAAGATAAAAGATGATTTTAATGTAAAGTCAACAAATGGAAGGAATTTAAGCCAAAGTATTTTGTAATAAAATAAAAATATTTGTTTTGTTGCGTTTTCTTTACCCATGGTATATATTTTCTCAGTATAATAAGTGCATCAGTTGTAATGGTAGTATAGCATTCAAGAATTTTAAACATAAATAATCTCATAGTGTAAGATTGTAATTTAAATTGCCATTTTATTTTATTTGAATATTTAAAAGTCTACAATAATGTTTTTGCACTGAATTACTTTGATAAGTAACAACAAACAAAGTAGAATCATAAAACAAACATCTGATACAATACCTACAGCTTTACCAGATTGACAATACCTATCTTTCCTTATCTCTTTAGCAATGCATGATTTACCAAGATGTTCGGCAAACTATTGGAGAAAGGTAGCAAACATTTACCCCCCAAAGTCAGACAACAAACTTCAATATTGATTAGCAAGTAAGCTCGTAAAGAAGTTCATCAGTCTTTGAAAAAGTGTCTCACAAAATGCCAGGGACCAACTCTAGGTCAAGACAAAAACAATGGGACACAGTTCTGAAACAGTCCAAACATGTTCTGCTCAAGTCAAGTAATAGTAAGTAAAAATTTTAAAGTTACATTTTATGTGGTAGTTGCTTTACATAACGTACCATGCTTTGCGATAATGGTAAGAGCTTATAAATCCAAAAATGTCTTTCAAATTGCAGCAAAAAACTAGATTTACCATGGCTTGAATTCTACCTATCTACAATAAATATGAAGTCATTAAAGAATAAAAACAAAGTTTACTTTGGTTATCATCGAAGAATTTAACTTCCGTCAAATGTACAAACTCTAAAAAAAAAATCACTTAAATTATACTTGAATTGTATAGCGCATGAGAAGTTAAAATGTAAATGGAAACATTGTAATATTCATATTTTCCATGAAAACCAATCATTAAAATAGTTATTTCAGCTGAACATGATAATACTGATATGCCCAAGGGTAGAGTTATATTTTAAGATTGGGAATACAACACAATCCTCTTCCTCTTTACAGGCATATGAAGATCAGTTTTTCGAAAAACATGAGACGATTTGCCAAAAAAATAAATGCAAATTATAGATTATTTATTAATGGAAGAATTTTTAAAGGATAAAAGACTAATCCTTTGGGTGGGTGTAAAAGAGATGGTGTATGCAGTCCCCAAAAATTCAAAAATTCAAAATTCTTTCAAAACTTGATGGGCCTTCTATTATTCACTTACCAAATATATATTTTTTAAAATAAAAGGTATGAGCAATCTGATCAATGCTTTCTCCCATTATCTTGTTAACGACCCTTATTACGGGTAAGCAGTGGGAGTAACTATACTTTGGAAGAAATAAATTACAGAAGCTGCAATAGCTTTTAAATCGTGATTTTTTTATAACACTGGGGGTTTTACTACAAATTTTGTTAACATGTTAAAGGACTAAAGCATACAAAATTTTAATCAAAATCGTTCAAAAAGTTTTTGTGTTAATCCAATTTTTCCGTTATTTATTTATAGGGTTTTAAAGAAAATCAATAAAAATCGGGTAAAACACGTGGAGATACCATGAATTAGTTACCACATATACCAAAAAATAATAGATAAATTCACAAAACTGCACCCATGCCACCACTACAGCTGTTCACCTCATCTAGATAAATATACTTGTCCATCTGTAGCTCATGAAACTTGCAGGAAACAGATCATGGAAGTGTGTTTTGAGTCGGTTAGGTCGCACATACATGGAGTCTTCCTCAGTCCACTGTCTACGTTACCTAATACATCCAGAGTGCCCTCCCATCCACAGGCAAGTGAAGATCTCTAACAAAGATTAAACTCAAATCCTGTTCAGTGACTTTGACTCTACAGTAATCCTGTAATCCTTACTAACCAACAACTAACGTTTGAACGACATCCAAGTTTTGAAGGTCATAATTAAAATTAGAACTATAGAATCAGCGCTTTGAAATGTTATACATAAGAATTATCTTCGGTTTTTGAACAAAATATTAACAAAGATATCTCAATCAGTTTTCATGATCCCTTAGTTTCTTCTGCATTTTAACAAACAGTTTTTTATTCATAGGAAGGGCTCGATTTGGTGGGAGAAAACAGTTCAAGATTTTTGACATAACGCCTATACAAAATAATACTAAATCTTTGTACTGTTTTTCTGATATTTGTTGTACTGAAAAAAAGAAAACATCCTGTTGTGATCTCTAAAGAAATTAGAGAGTTTGATAAGGATAAAGAAAAGAGGTAAACAGAAGTAGGATGTAGGTTATATGGATAAAATATTTTGATAAAAACAATGTTTAGAGGACTTTCAAACTCAATTTTAGTGCTAGTTATAACAAAAACTGATTCTCAGTAGTAACCCAGCACTTTCCCTGAAAAACGGTGATACCGGTACCATGAAATGAAATGCCTTCAGATAGGTACTGACACAGTTCTAATAGCTCCCAGAAATTATAACCCCAGCACCTAAAACGATCACAGTAGAAACCTATAGAACCATTTACTACTGGTATTGCTTAAATACTTGTGTGATCCCCAGGTTTGGATGGGGTATAGTGTTCCTGCTCACTGTGGTAGGTGCTGTTATCTCGATAACCGGTTCCTACTTCTCCTTCGTAGAGTCTCCAGTGGTGATGACAGTAGACACAAGTTCCTATCACATGTCCAACATCCCTTTCCCAGCTGTTACTGTGTGCAATGTCAACAAGATGAAGCGGTCCAGTGTGCTCCAGCTGGCGAGGATCATGTAAGATGAAATCCTTGAATAAGTTGATTTATTGGATGTGGCAGGTTATTTAAGGTTCCCTATTTGGAGAGATTGCGAACTTTGGTCAACATTTGGATGAGGTAGAAAAACTATATGTATTGTATAGTTTCTAAGCTAGATGTCAATTGATGAAAAATAACATTTGGAAGATGGTCTGTATGATGGAACCTGTCTTCTGACCCTATGTCTACCTGGGGGCTGGCCTGTTTCTCAAACCATTGGCCAGCCCCCAGGTAGATGAAGGGTCCAAGTTGTAAAAAATCCTCCTTACATTTAATTATTTCAAAGGTACGAGCCAATGAAGATCAACATTGGACATACATTGATTGGACGAATACTCTGACACTTCACTGCTTCATGATTGAACGTTTGTAATTCCCCATTTCAAATTCCAATAGATACATCCAAAATTTAGTACAAAAGCAACTGAGCAATGTTATGCTACCATACTGTACCATACTGCTCACCCTTACTGTGGCCACCAAAACCTTGTTTAAAAAAATAAATTTGATTTCATCCTCATAAGATGAGTAAATGACATGGTATGATCAAATCACTCCATAGTTACTGAGCTCCAAGGATTAATAATCACAATAAGAGGATGAAATACTATATTTTGTTAATCAAAATCTCCCTAAAAAATACTAAATTCGATGAATGAAGCAGAGATTCTATGACCTGACATACATTTACATGTTACGTGACGTGTTTAGTAGCTCGGAATGCGGTGAGATGACGCCTCAGGAAGTGTTTGACTCCATGGGAACTCTGGGTAACTTGTTTGACAACCAATACAATCGCAGAACTGACACCCGATGGATGCACAAGCTACTGGTAGACGCTGGCATGGAGGACCAAGTCAGGGCTATATTGGAGGAGGTGAGATTTGCGTGGAACCTCAACAGAGATATGTGAACTCAAACAAAGTTTGAATTATATCAGCTAAAAGTTGAATAGATTAAACCTTTACATAAAATAAAGAGTTGGTAAAATATCATTAAATGAATAATAACCATGAAAAAACATGTCTTCCTTCACCCAAATATTTATGGCTAAATATTTTTACTAATATTTCACAGCTCTGATTGAATATATTCCAGTATTCCACAGTTGCACCTGGCAACACTCATTATTTCAAAAGTCTGTCTATATATGCTTTAACATTTTTAATTTATGTCTGTAAACATCCCAACATTTCTGAGGTCTATTTGCATACATTCAAACTTGTAACAATTCAGCTTCTATGTTTACATCCTAACATTTCTCAGCCTTAACTTTTCACAGCTAAATACCAACAACATTTCACAGTACTGTATGTACACAAGCCACCATTCCACACTGTTTTCGTAAACATCCCAACATTTCGCATTTCAAAGTACAATCATTTCACAGCTGTTTTCACACTTACATTTCCCAGCTGGCTCCCAGCTGTGATGAGATGCTGAAGGCTTGTTCCTGGATGGGTGCGAGTGTTCCCTGCTCCTCTTACTTCACTCCGTTACTCACAGTGGAAAATGGCTTCTGTTGCGTCTTCAACTTCAACATGAGTTTTGAAAACTTACTACCGTAAGTTAGAAACCAATCACATTTTTTTCAAATCTTCCATTAGATCAGACCTTCCATTAGATTATTTATGTTTGTACTGTGTTATATATCAACTTCTATTAGATTGAGTTGAAACATTTCTAGTTAGGACGAAGGTTCTATCACAAACTGGCCAAGAGAGCTAGTCGACTAAGTTCTTTTTCTTTTTGCTATAAAACTGTCTAGAACTTTTACAAGAGAGAATGTCAACTTCATTGAAGTTTTTTTAAGATCAAAAGAAAAGATTTTAACATCGGAAACCAGAAACCATGATGAAGTTGTAATCTTTTTACACATTTTCCAGAGAGTACTTTAACGACACTGAAGAGATTAACAACGAGCCTCCGATCACACACCATATGACTCTTGGAGTGATGCAAGGTCTCTCGGTCTATCTGGACTTGGGCATTGACGAGTACTACTTTACATCACTGCCTACGTTCGCTGCCAAGGTATGAGACCAGGCTCCAAGATGTTTCTTATGAAAATATAAGGGTTTAAAAAAAAATTGCAATAACTTTTGAACTGTAGTTTAGTTTTTAGTGTTGGGGTTTGTGCCATTTTCTTCATGGTTAAAAGGAATGAAATACAACAAAATTGTTGTTACCACAGTTCTTGCGATAATCATATGTTTGTTATTTTATGGGCTTACACATAGAAAATGTCACAAAAATCGGACCATACCGGTTATGGTTCGTCTGTAGCTCTGTAGGGCCTACTCATACTTACACACATTCAAAGATATCACTTTTAAAAACCACTTTAGTTGGGTTAAGGAGGACCCAAAGTGTATATTTCCACACAAAATTCAAACTTAAAAAAAAAAAAAAAAAAAAACATAAAACAATACTTTTCTATAACTATAAGTGTACAGGAGAAGAAAGGAAGAGAACTCTGGTTACAGGTGTAGGTGCAACTACTTTCCTAAAAGCAAATTTGCTCATTCTCCACTAAAAGGAAATTCTATGAAACAATTACAAGCTGTTTTAATTGTGAAATTTTACCTCAGGTAATAGTGTCTTCATCACAAAGCTTCCAGGACTCTCTCAACGGAGACACGATCGAGACTTTGGTTCCTCTAGGCACAGAAGTTTACATGAGACTAGAAGCCGACTCTACCTTCGCTGACCAAGACGTGATGGAGTGGCCGTTTGAGAAGCGGAAATGTCACTTTCATCACGAGAAAAAGGACCACTTCAAAGGATTCTACACCTTCCCTTCCTGCCTGGTGAGTTGTCGGGTTAGAAACATCACGAGAAGTTGTGGGTGTCTGCCGATCTTCATGCCGAAGAAAAATGACACTGGCACGGGTAAGAGGTTAGACTTTCCGAAAGCTTAAAGGGTGGAATAAATACTAGATTAGCTATACAAATGGATAGTATACTAGAAAAACATCATTATTAGGCTTTGAATAAATAGTTAAAGAAATAACTGGTCTCTGCATTGACTTTTGTAAACTGAAATAGACATTCCATCTGAATGGACCAGCTGTCCCAAATTATTTATTCGTAAAGAGCGTAGTTGAGAGCCAGTCACAGGTTGTGCTACTGTCTAAAATTGTGTTTTTACCTTTTATTGTTATAGGTATAGTTGACATAAAATATGTTAAAGTTTACAACAAGTCATCCTATTAGTTTGACTTGATTAAAAAGTATGCATAAGCAACATAAATCGGCAATTTACATCAGCGCAATCTGTCGGTAGCTCTCTTCAACTACGCCCATTTTGATAAGAAAACTGGCAACAACCTTGATAATTATCATAGGGATGGAATGACTAGTTCTATCAATTATCAATCATTGAGATTGTCAAAGGTCTTAGTAAGTAACAAAGCTACACAAGGCATCGTAACTCTGTTGCACTCATCCTTCATTCATATTTGGGTTTACGTATGAGTTGTTTCCATCGTGGTAATGGTAATCAAACGGTTTACTGTTCTATCATAACATAACTATCTCTTTAACAAATGAACTATTTTATCAGCAATAACTTTTTTATTTATAAATTTTTCAGCCCTCCCCCATTGCAACCTGGCAGACCTTCCATGCTTGGCAAAAACCAAACGTAAGTAAATATGTTTGACTAATTTTTGAATTTTTATAGCAGCAAAACTGTGCAAAAAATGTTGCAAAAGACTAATGTTGGATAGTTAAATAAGTTTTCTGAGAATTAATACAACAATTAAGTATACTTAAAATACTCAACGTTTCATTTGTAGGTATTTGGTCGAGCGATCCGGTCGGAAACAGCAGGGTTAATCAATGTGATTGTTGGCCGGCCTGTAATCAAGATCGGTACTCCTTGCGAACATGGCAGTCCCAACTAACCAAGACTAACTTCCGTACTACGTAAGTGGAAGACATTGCTACGAGAACATGTTGACAAGTTTACATAGATACAAGTTTACTTTGGCTCCCAAAACAGTCACAAACTAACCAAGAATAACTTTTGTACTACATAAGTGCTAAGTAATTTCAAACAGAAATAGATCATACGATTATTTATCACTACTGAGTTCTAAATTTAATTTGATCAAGACCACTGACAGTGGCAAAATTGTTTCAGACGGATAAATTTAACAAGCAACTCCGCAGTGTTTCATCTATTCTCAGGAATAACGCACACAACCCGGTTCCGAAACGACATCTTGATAAGGGATTCACAGCTGTACAGTAAGTTGGACATTTATGATTTATAAAACAATGTTACAAAATAAAACAAATGACAATGTTAAAGATGTTACATATAAATTCAGTTTCACATTAACTTTGAACCCTACAAATAAACAATAAGAATTATTGTAAATTAAAATTTAAATTGTTTCATTTACGGTTGTTGAATGTGCAAATGTTGGCTAAATGTTTATCTTTTGGTTTAGGGTAAATTTGATGGTTTATGCTTTATTCTTTAATCGAGGTTAATCAGTAATTGACATGTACATCTTTCTATTTTGTTTTGCTGATTTTAAGTTTAATTCAAATTTTTAGATTCTGAAATGAGATACCACTGGGCTATCAAAAGGTCAACATTAATTAGGTACAACAAGACCAAGGTTTGGACCATTCCTCTTACAAAATAAATAAACAAAATACCAACACCTACAAACATTATTATTTTACTTTGGCATTTGGTTTTAATAATTTTTTTCATTCCAGGTAATCTGGCTGGACTACTTTCATTATTCCTTGGTTGCAGCTTTATGAGTGTTTTTGAACTGTTTTATTTCCTTTTCATTCGACCTATAGCTGAGAAATTCTTTTTGAAGTCAAACGATGCAAATCTTGAAAGAGAAGTAGAAGACTACCACCTATACTGGACCGAAATGACTACAAAGAAAGCTAAAATGCCACAGATTAAAAGCAGACCTTACGTTCTGTATTGATGTAAATTGATACAAAATTACGAATACAGTAATTAGTTAAGACGAGTTTGATTTAATTCAGGAAAACCAGACTAACAATAGTTTTATTCACTGTTGACTTGTAGGGTCAAATTATGAAGTATATGAAGAAAAATTAGATGTACCTTATATTGAAAGCTCTTTAATTACAAAGTCGTACCAAGTAATTTTGGTAAAAAATTAATGTTTAAATACATAATGGATTGAAATGTTTTATTGAACTATCTTTAACCTTATGTGTATTAAATTATACATAAAAGATAAAAAAATAAAGAATGGAATGCAGCTTAAGAAATACAGTTTGAAATATAAGAACTCAACTGAGCTTTTTAGTTGTACCACATAGGCTACAACTTTAGTCCTTGGATAGTTTGTAAAATAAATTACAGAATACTCAGTATGGAATGGATGCCAATCTTCTGCTGATCTTTAAAATCTTTTGTCTGGAAATATTTGTCAGTGAAATGAAAATAGATTGATATTAAAATGAAAGAATGGCTGAAATATATTGATTGAAAAATAGTACTTACTACCACTACTTACCCAAAGACCTAATCATATTGTTCAGTTTTTAATTTTTAAGCAATAAAAGTGTTTTTAACTTTAATGTTGGGGTTTTGCTTCATATATCACTACCGTACTTAAACACTATGAAAATGTACTAAAGCATGAGCTGCATAATACAAACAAAAAAGCTGATATCACAAAACTTATTTTTTAAGCACAGTGTTGCATAGATAATAATACTAGGCCTACAGTAAAATGATAAGTGGTTAACAAACTACATAAATAAATACCTAATGGTATAGCATATAAACAAGTTTTATACATACTTAAAATTATCTCCATTTTGCTTTCTATATTTTCTGTCCAACAAAAACATAGCTTATGTGCAAAAGTGAGTTTGTCTTTTTTATTTTTTTGTCACTTAAAACATACTTTCAAGTCAGCAAGTTTTGAAAACCTTCATAAGGTATTTCAGGTATTCTATGTTTCCAGTATAGAACGACAAAACTATTAAAATGTTAGCCTACATGAAATGGTTTATAGTACATACCCATACCTGTGTTTTCATTGAGTCAAGTAGCCTATTACTAATTTGATCACTAATCTTATAATTATATGTACACACTACATACAAAATTTAATGTAAACATCAATAAATAATATTTTAGTTTAAGTATACAAAAAGTTATTATTCAGTCTTCTCTTTCTTGGGTTCTTGTACTTCTTCTTTTGAAAGACAAACAAGCCAAATTTGAATCCAAACTGGCAAGAGGAATACCATCCTGAAAAAATAAATATATTTTTTGGTAAAAATTGCATTTCTCTGAATGCTTTATTTTAATTCTTTAACAATCTTGAAAGTTTTTATTCGTTTACCATAAATGAGTTTTTTTTTAACTAAATTATTTCCTTAACAATTTCAGACTGACTCCTTACTTAAATACCTTAACATAACACATAGCCTAACAATTATTTAGTTTTGAATCGATTTGGGAGGTAAAGAAGTGTATTTTTTTTATCTAAACTCAAAAAAGTAAACCTGAAACTCTTTCTTGAAAGTAATATGAAAACATTTCTATCCCGCTGGATATTAAAAATACTCTCTAAGCAGAAAGATATTCTTAAGTTATTTTCAGCCATTCTTAACTATAACCCATCCACTATTTATCACTTGGCTGCCAACTAATGATTTTCTAATCACCAGTAAATGATAATGAAAATACAAATGCTGATAATGTTGAAAAAAAAACTTTAAAAAACATAATCGTTAATAATAGAAAAATATCAAGGTTCATGAATAGAACAAAATTTACCCAATAGGGAAGATGACGTTTCCATAGACCAGGTTGTCAACGCAGGAGAGTGTCAGTGCGTGTTTAGTCGCGCTGAACGCTCGTCCCAACAAGTCCCAACCTGTTGACTCCGGGAAGGTGACGGAAGTGCTGGCCAATACAACCCACCACAACATAGCCAGAGGGTGGTACACAAGCCACACAAGCTTCTTCAGCCATCTGTAACAAAGGCGAGGGTAAAAGAAATGTAAGTCAAACTAATGTTTACGATTTTTTAGTAAAATATCCTTTTAGTGACCCTAGAAGACTATATGGATGTTTCTAAGTATGCAAAGTTTTCATCAGCTACTACCAAAAGAAGCTGTCAAATTATTGGGATAGGTATCTTTATATTATACTAGCTGAACCCACGGGCTTTGCCCCGTTTAACTTCATAAGTATTCGCATGGCTCAATCAGGTCCCGGTTGAAGTTTGTTCGCTACGCACACTCACCTTTAGGTTGGAGCTCGTTCGCTGCGCTCACTGTTTTCAGGTTAGCTCGTTCGCTACGCTAACTCGCCTCCAGGTTGATGTTCGTTCGCTACGCTCACTCACCTTTCGGTTGCAAATTAGCTGTTGTCATAAAAAAAAAAAAAAAAAATAATCGTGCAGCACCCTGTTGGTAAAATTACTGCTATTGAACATCACAGAATCAAATTGCTTAGTTGAACCAGCTGTTAAGATTCTTTAATTCCATTTAAATATGAGTACTCATAAGGTTAACATGGGAAACTCCAGAGCCACTGGGGCGGAGCCCTTTTGACGGATCTGCACCAAACTTCACACAAACCATCCTTGAATAATGCTTAATAATGCCTGAAATTTTCATTACAATCTGTCGAGCGGTTTTGGAGTCCATAAAGGACAAACAAACAAATATACATACAAACAAACATGCATACAAACAAACATACATTGGATTTTATATATATAGATAGACAGATAAATCAAACTCTCTCATTAGCATATGCCTTTGCCTTTGAGCTCACTAATATCTTTAATTGGTTAACTCCTAAATATTTCACCTGATGCTGGAGTAGTTAACCCACAATGTAGGTGGAAGGTACAGTAGTCCTGTGATCAGAGCCAAGGAGAAGTTAGTGAGAGACACAGCCACTAGGAGTGTGGCTAGCTCTAACAGGGCCATGATGTTGAGTAGGATCAGGTTACTCTGTATATGCTATATTGACTATACCTGATGCTGGAGTAGTTGACCCACAATGTAGGTGGAAGGTATAGTAGTCCTGTGATCAGAGCCAAGGAGAAGTTAGTGAGAGACACAGCCACTAGGAGTGTGGCTAGCTCTAACAGGGCCATGATGTTGAGTAGGATCAGGTAACCCTGTATATGCTATATTGACTGTACCTGATGCTGGAGTAGTTGACCCACAATGTAGGTGGAAGGTATAGTAGTCCTGTGATCAGAGCCAAGGAGAAGTTAGTGAGGGACACAGCCACTAGGAGTGTGGCTAGCTCTAACAGGGCCACGATGTTGAGTAGGATCAGGTTACTCTGTATATGCTATATTGACTATACCTGATGCTGGAGTAGTTGACCCACAATGTAGGTGGAAGGTATAGTAGTCCTGTGATCAGAGCCAAGGAGAAGTTAGTGAGGGACACAGCCACTAGGAGTGTGGCTAGCTCTAACAGGGCCACGATGTTGAGTAGGATCAGGTTACTCTGTATATGCTATAGGTATTGACTATACCTGATGCTGGAGTAGTTAACCCACAATGTAGGTGGAAGGTATAGTAGTCCTGTGATCAGAGCCAAGGAGAAGTTAGTGAGGGACACAGCCACTAGGAGTGTGGCTAGCTCTAACAGGGCCATGATGTTGAGTAGGATCAGGTTACTCTGTATATGCTATATTGGCTGTACCTGATGCTGGAGTAGTTAACCCACAATGTAGGTGGAAGGTAGAGTAGTCCTGTGATCAGAGCCAAGGAGAAGTTAGTGAGAGACACAGCCACTAGGAGTGTGGCTAGCTCTAACAGGGCCATGATGTTGAGTAGGATCAGGTTACGTTCTTTACCAATGCTGAAATATAAGGATTAATTGAATTATCTTTGAACAGAATATCACATTATTAATGTTTAAATTTACTGAATATCATGCAGAGATGTTAGAAGACAAAACCATTTGTTAATTAAATAATTTGTAGCAATCTGCAAGTTTGACATTTAAAATTTGAATCAAGTTAACAATTTCGACCCTCTGATGTCGGGGAAATTGAGTAAATCATCCATATACATGAAAAAATCTACATATTTTGATCGCAATACTTCGCAGATGCTTTTTTGATCGCGGAAATAAACACTCGGCTTGATCTGATAATTATTTTTGGCACAAATCGATCCCTCGGACAACTGTTGACCCAATCTGACCCAAAAATATCGTAAACCCGCCAACCCCTATTAGTTTGTATACCCTACAAGGTAAACTTAAACTAAACATAACAGTAAAATTCTTCTTTAGCAGTAAACCAGCAAACTAAGTAAATTTTACTTTAATTCCAAAGGGATCGTGGTAAAACATAAGAATTTTGAAAAACAACAATGAAATGATAAATTAAGGAATATGGGCAAAATGTTATGGAGATCAATTTCCAATCTTTAGCCTAAAATTTATTCTGCATTAGGATTACAGTTTTTAGAGCACTAGACTGTTTTGAGCAACCATCCTCTTCCTAAAGAAAGCGCAAGTTGTAACAGAGCAATTTTGAAATGCAAAACTAATTTTTAGTTTTCAGTTTGACTACCAAATGAATTTTTATTTTCTTTTTCAAAGTGTTCTTGGTCAGTAAATATTATTTATTTCTGTATTTTTCTAACTGTAGCTTTAAGCCCTGACACTCTATATAATTGATTGAACATAATTTTTTGTGTTTAACCACGACAAAAACCTGACATGAAACGAACTCAAAAGTAGTTCTACTATACAAACACATATTCAACTCCGAACTACATTTCAGTAAAAGTATACTAACAAAACATTGATGATGGGAGGCAACAAGACGGTGAGTAGAGCAACACCCAGGAAGCCGTAGAACAAAGCATCTTCAGTGGCAAGCGAGTTCAGTACAGCTGTGAACCACGGACCACTGGAGAGTAACGTAACTCCTACAGTATGAGTGACTAGTACGGCCGCACCTACGTACACAATGTTCAGCTTCTTGTACGTCTACAACACAATGTAAAAGTTAGAACAAAGCATCTTCAGTGGCAAGTGAGTTCAGTACAGCTGTGAACCACGGACCACTGGAGAGTAACGTAACTCCTACAGTATGAGTGACTAGTACAGCCGCACCTACGTACACAATGTTCAGCTTCTTGTATGTCTACAACACAATGTAAAAGTTAGAACAAAGCATCTTCAGTGGCAAGTGAGTTCAGTACAGCTGTGAACCACGGACCACTGGAGAGTAACGTAACTCCTACAGTATGAGTGACTAGTACAGCCGCACCTACGTACACAATGTTCAGCTTCTTGTACGTCTACAACACAATGTAAAAGTTAGAACAAAGCATCTTCAGTGGCAAGTGAGTTCAGTACAGCTGTGAACCACGGACCACTGGAGAGTAACGTAACTCCTACAGTATGAGTGACTAGTACAGCCGCACCTACGTACACAATGTTCAGCTTCTTGTACGTCAACAACACAATGTAAAAGTTGGTAACCTTTGACTTTGGGCATTGGCTATGTATAGAACTAGACATTTCATTCCCATGTTGTAGCCAGTTGTGGAATACAAATGAACGTTTTCGAGCCACCGACAGAGTGCACTGATATATAGTACTGATTTCTCCCGAGTGCAAAAACTTATTAATTCAAGACAAATTAGGAACAACTTATTGTAGGCCTACTCCAAAACACCTTTTATGTCACGTCGACTATCCAATGACAAAAAAAGGAGAAAAAATAATTTTAAGCCTATACGGTCAAAGCAAACACTGTAAGTGTAAGTACCTCCTTCAACTATAGTAATTTTGTATTTAATACAAACTTGGCTACAGCTAACCATATAGATATAGGTCTACTTAAGAATTTAGAAGTCAATGCACACCAAGACATACTACCTACAAAGACCCAGTTGTAGCAGCGGGTCGAGATAAAACCCTGATCCTTTTTTGTTTGTTAGTGTATTACGTATTACATAATTTATTTGTGATCGGATACAACGATATAAAAATAAACTACGCTTAATTTTATTGGCCACATTGACCTACTAAGCCTTTCAAAGCCTGATTTTTTATTTAGTGTTTTTGAAATCCCCCATTGGGCGTCTTTGTTTTAGTTTTACTTATATAACAAACGTTAACTTGGAAGACAATGTGTAACCAAACGACAAAATATAGAGAAACCAAATGCATACACAACTCACCCCCTCGTCTGCTGGGACAAATAGCACCGGAGCGGGAGTTTCCGAGGATGATGTTGGGGGTTTCTTCAACAGCAGCCAGAATGTGAAGGCTTTGAGAAACAGAGCAGCTGCCAGAGTGACGACACACGGTTGATACACTCCGATACTAACGTAGCGATCCGTGTCTGGCAGCAAGTAGAAGAAGAAGGACTGGTGGAATCTCTCCAGGAGGTTGTTGAGACTGCGGAGAAGTCCTTCGAGCACTCTATACATTAATTTGATGTATTACTTGTAAAAATTGAATTGGATACCGCTGTTGTTCTACTACTTCCGTTACTACTACAATAACGGAAGTAGTAGAACAACAGCGGTTTATTTTATTTCTACCACCTCGTAGTGAAATCTTTTTGTGGAGATGACATTTCAATTATATGTCTATTTCTTCTTCTTCAATGTAATATCTAGTCTATGAACAAATATTTTGACAATTATTTTTTACATACCTTCCCAGCTGATACATCGTGGCAGGACTTCCTTTTCCAGTCTTCTCAAACCCCTCTAAAGTGACAGCCTCGATTCCAAACCTGTGAAAAGTACAAATACGTTAACATATATTATACTTCATAATTTTAATTGAATTGAATAAAGACAAATTCTGGAATTGCTAAGTAAATGCTGATCTTGTAATTTTCAAATTTAAAAATTAGCCTCTGAAGTATTAAAGAACAAAGTACTTGTCGTGCAAAGTTTCATGAATGAGGAAGAACCCTTAAAATTCCTAAATGGGCTTAGTAAAAAAGAACAGACCAATTTTGTGAGAACAGAACACTTTTGGTTGGACTGTTTAACTTTATCCCAGGAAATGAAGAAATCCCTAGTAAAGGCGACTATGGAGTTAAGAACATAAAAGAAATTAGTGTTCTCTACAGTTGTTGGAATCACCAAACCTTAAAATTTGATTGCAGTAGATTTTATTTGATTATTACGATGCCTACACACTTGGGTGAACAATTTCAAACAAAGATGAGTGAACGACGACTGTTGAATAAATGACAACTTTGTTACTGACTAAGACCAGCAGGTTCCTTAGCCAGGGTTTATTAAAAGCTCAATGATCAAGGACCTTAGGACCAGTTTTGAACCATTAAAAAGATTTTTACTCTACTCAGGATCGGACCTAGCGGCTTTCTGATTACTAAATGTAAACAATACGACCACTAAGGCTCATGGACTAAATCCAGGGTGCTACTAAAAGCCACAACGTTAAAGTAGCTAGAATAAAATTAGCTATCTCTCAACCATAAAAAAGCAGAGTTTCTTACCTGTGAAAGAGCCCATGGTTGCCATCCGGGACTGAGGTGGCCTGAGTCAACACCATGGAGCTGAGAGTACCTAGGGAACTCATCCAGGCTCTCACTGGGTCCCTGTCAGTGTTCTTCTCCTGTCAAAACACAAATACTTTACTAAAAGTTAAAATAAAAGGCTGTATTACAAAGCTATACAGGCTGATTGTAGGCCTAAATGAATTTTTGAGTTTTAACCCTTAAAGGCGGTTTAGCATGATTTGGGGAAAAATTACTGAGAAAGGTCTGTTGAGCAGTAAAAAAATTGTACAATATACGTATTACTTAAAACTCCCCTTTATTGGACCTATATAAAATAATACCCTTGCCCCAGCAAACCTGCATACTAAAAGAATTTTATTTGCCTGATTGAATAACATTGTATGTACCAAAACATTGCAACTCTTGATTTATATATTAGGAAAATGTTAACAAATCTTTTAACAACCAAAATCACCAACAATAAACTTTAAACTCCCTACCTTATTGTAAAATGTGTGTCTAACCCCCTCCTTAGAGCACATTCGATGTACCAGGTTCACCAGATCCAGGTTGGGCAACTGTCCGTTGAGACCAGAGAGTTTGACGTCAATGTAGCCAACTCGAGAAGCGTGAAGTTCCAAGTTGAGGGCGGCTTGTATCGCTCCACCTCTGCCCAATAGCGAACCATGCTCCAACACTCCTTGAATGGGAAACATACTTGAGAATTACTTGAGGACAATTAATTAATGTCAACACATTATTGCAGAAATTTCACATCAATTGCAATCCTTGCAAAAACGGCTGTTTTTTTAAGACACTCAGTAACCGGAACGGTCCGAACTAGCGTGTATTTACCCTATTCTGCTTCTCTTCATCACATTGGTGTACAGGCTAATTAAAAACAATGGTTGATATTTAATTTTTTTCCAGCTATGTTTTCCTGTTTCAAATCCTCTTTCACAGCATTTTTACATAATATAATTACCCGTGGAAGGAGTGTCGTGATAAGCTTCCAACCAAGCTTGAATGCCGAGCTGCTCGTGTTCAGTCACCAAGAAGATGATGTCCTTAGCCCAATACTTCTGTCTGCGGAAGAATTGTGCCAGGGCCAACATGAGTGCCAGACCAGGTGCCGTGGGCAAGTGTGCACTGGACGGGGGACGGTACGGCACTGTCAGAACTATAGCTTCAGTACTGGCACTGCGCGGTGCACGCAGGATGCCGTACACATTCTTGCCGGTGAATTTCTGAAACAAAGGCTATTTTTGTGGGACTCAGTGTGTTGGATTCTGAAAACGTTACATTAATAAAAATAGTAGGCCTACTAGGCCTACATTTAACCCCCAGTAGTAAAGCTAGGAAAAGTCAACTTATGAACTTCTTAAATAAGGCTTATTATGTAATCCTCATTGGACACTCAATTTAATAAAAGGCGTATTTTTATTAGAGACGCGAGCAACATTATTTTCAAACCAAGCCTGGACAAAGTGCTCAAATAATTGACCATCAAGCCAGTAAAAAATTAAGCAGAGCCGAGCTTTTACTTTAGAGATATTCTAACAGTTAAAAGTCATAATGTCTAATTTTTAATCCAAAACCCAGGCTAAAATACTCTTTATAAGCTTAAAAGCAAGCTGGTATATTGGTAGAAAGTGGGATTTCGGGCCACAAGGTCCTGGGTTCAAGTCCTACCGATCACCAATGAATTTTATCCATGGCATATTGCCGCAACCCTCTAAACCTAGCCTGAAGTAATGTGAATGTAAAGTCCACATAGGCCTACTTACCAGGCCGTTGCTGAGAGGGTAGTGGAGAGTAAAGTTGTGCGTGTAGGTATCTAGACTTAGCCGAGTCATCTTGGCCACAAGCCACGGGACGGGTAGAGACTCGGGGTATCTTTGTGCCTCGGCCTCCAACTCTTCCTGCATCACCTTCGCTTCCCCATCAAGGTCAAACTCTCCCTTAACTAGCCCAGGCAGTAGCGCATTCTCAGAGAAATATGTCGCTGAAATAACAGTTTTTTTTTAAGATTGGACTTTCTCTATTGTTGGTGTGTTTAACTACATTATGTTGGGAGGCAAGGAAACTAACCACATTCTCGAGTGACCTTATATTCTAACCCTATATTTAGCTAATTAAATAAACTGCCTAACCTAACTATTTAAAAAATTGTACAAACCACTAATCACATCACATTTAATACGTTACAGTTCTGGTACCTAGTTTTTTACAAATCGAGCACTGCATAGGTTAAGACGTTAGGTTTTAAGACGTACATTAGTACATTAAACTACTACTAATTAGTTAGCTACATACCTTTTACAGGTTAAGTTCAAAGAATTATTGAAATATATAAGTTAACCTAAGCTACTTGGGTTAAAATTTATTATTACTGACCTGCATTGAAGTTGTTGTTGGCTAACATACAGAACCATATAATAGATGACAAGTACAGAATAACACACAGAAAATTGTGATACTTGACCACAAACTGGGTAGGCCTTCCATGTCCAGTAGGGTCAGTTAGGAGCCCCATGACTCGTTAGCCGAGGTTAAGTTTACAGTTCCTGCAACACAAAACAAAACACTGAAGTAGAAACAAAAATTGAATAAACTATTACAGTTTGGAAGACTATAAAGATGCAGAGCCAATTGTCGTATAGACCAACCCTATAAATATTTTACCTTTTTTTCCTTAACAGTAGTACAGTACAGTAAGATAAAGAATGCCTCTTGCAAGGTGCCATAACTTTAGAAGTTGGAAAACTTAGAAACCCTTGCCGACAGACCGCCACCGCCCACCACCACTGCTCGAGCGAACACCATTACCGCAACAATACGTTGTACAGCCATAGGTCTTGGTGGTGTAGTGGATAGCGCACCGGGCTGATAGTTCAAAGGTAACCGGTTCGAAACCCACCGGAGGCATTAACTTTTTGACTCGATGTTTTTTCATTATCAGCCATTTTGGTAGGTTTAGTTAGGTAATGATAGTTTAATTTTATAATTTAAAAAATATATAATTGATTTTGAGACATTTATAATTTTATTTTGTGAACAGAACTATTTTTGTTATTAGTAAACCTTCATTCGATATTTTCATTATCAGCAAGTTTGGTTAGGTTAAGTAGGCCTATGACAGTTAAATTAATTTAAATTTAACCTACAAACGATACGTTTTGACAGCGACAGTGATAGAGATAACAATTTCCCACAAACAGTTCGGCTATGCATGGTATGATGCGTTCTGCACGGTGCGGTGGTGGGCGGTGACGGTCTGTCGGTAACGTCTCGTGGAAAACTTCTTCATATTGCTACAATGCTGTAAACGATCAAGACTGAGGTTTCAAAGTTTTGCAACTTTTATTACGTAGGTTACTCATAAGGCTGGTTGTGTTGCGAACAAAATAGTATACTGTAGAGTTTAGTCTATGTGTTATAATAGCCTAGCTTATAACTTAAATGAGCTTAAAATTCTGACACATCAGGGTACAAAATTAAGGAAAAAATGGGTATAGAATGGAAGGGATAAAAGTCATAGCCTTGTAATAACTATGATCAGCTGGTTTGTTAGACCGAATAATTTACCCAATAGCTGGGTTTAGTTTTGAAACAAGAAAAATTATTCAAGCTGTTTTAGGATTGGACTGACACTTTGAATCATGAGAGGCTCAATTGGTAGACCTAGCACCTAAGACTTCGGGCAAGGTCAGCAATGTCGTGGGTTTAAGGATCCTAGTACTTGCTACTACCTTTATTAGTACAGTTAAATCCTTGTATTGTACCAGCTCACCCCTTGCTTTGCTGGATATGGATAAGTTACGTTCCACACACAGGCCCAAGGAATAAGGACTGTCAAATATGCAAGGTTACCGGCAACTTAAAAGAGGCCCCCCAACCTTTCTAAAAAAAACTTAGCCTAGCCTAGCTCTTTTAATTGGCCGGCTAACCATGGGAAAATCTATTTAGAGAACAAGATTTAGAGACCCTCAGAACGATGATTTGGTCAATTCAAAAAATACAAATGGCAAATGTTCAGGTTTAAAGTCATAATAAATATTAAGCTGAACCCAAATCAAGCAATATTTAACCCCGATAAAATATGTCTACCTACCTAACCTATATAAGCCGGCTAAATTATGTCATCAATAACACTGACCTAACCTTAATCAAATAACCCTAAGTCGGATTTCATTAAGGATACATTTGCTAGAATATAAACATGTTGTACTTTTCTTTGGAAGCCAATGCAATCGTAAATAAGCTCATACTTACTAGCAATTAATATCAATTAATTATTAAAATGGTAGAAGAGCACTAGAGCATTTTTGACAGCAAGAGCAGACAACAAACAAACGAACCAACAAACTGAAAGAAGAAGAAAACTGCACCCCAATTTCAGTACAATACGATCCCCAGAGTAGTAGAGTGGGCGTAAAACGACGACCCGAGCTGAGTTTTTAATCAATGGTCCTGGCTATAAATAAACAGCTGATAATCGATCTCAGTTATATCATAGATAAAACATACTCCCTTAGTAGATTTCTCATCCTTATGGAACAGCTGAAGACAATTTTATTGTTAGTTCATGTACGGTTTATGTAGAGGTCGTGTTTTGTTTACAAATTGTTTCCCGTTATTACAGCCATTTAAAACCTCGTTTAACCAAATAATACGATCTAATCATAAACAATAACTTGTCCCCTAGTTATATAACCAAACAGTAAAGCACAAATCAAGAAATTAACCCTAAAATAATGGAAACAAAGTTTCATCGACACTAGCGCCTTTGTGTCACGTACATGAACTAGACACGAAAAACGTGCTTCAAAATTTACAATGGGATGAGAAGTCTACTTGTGTTGGTTAGTCTATGGTTATATCATAGCGAAAAGGAGAAGTAGCCCAATAAAAAAAGCTAGGTATCTCATATTACATATTTTAATACAGTACTCACTTTCTTGTTTAAAATACGCCCCCTGGCAGTAGCGGTCCAAGAAGGGGGGGGGGGTGGCCCCCCCCTCCACGAGGGTTGGTCCTGATTTTTGGTAGTTTTTAAAAGTTTTTAGTCTTACAATTTTGCTGGAAGAAAGGCCCCGCCCCGGAATTGAATCCTGAGACTACCATTGCCTCTGGGCGTGTCGGTGTAGTACAAATCTATGAGTTTTCTCTGTAAATTTAACAGATTTCCTGTGGGTTCTCTGGTTATATCACCAAAGTTCCAGCTTATTGTTAACAAACTTGTAATTTGTCATAGTTTCATTTTTATTCTAATTCATGTCTTTAATTCGGTAAAATAGCACTTGGTGCTGTCAGCTGTCAAACCATGTGCTTTTAATGAAATCCCCCTAGTACCTTAGGACACCTCACATTGAAGAATCTTTAAGGGGACACATTAATACAATCTCTTCTTCCCAGAAGAAACAAGTCATATATTTCTAGCTTTTTCAAGAATGAGGCATTAATAAGATAATACAGATAAATTTGTGCAGTCTCCATTCTCCAACTTACCCTTCTCTCTTCTCTCTAAACCACTCATCTGAAACCATTGGCTTTAAGTCCTGGCATACACCAGTGTGTGTCTTCCCTCTTCCATACTTTCATAATGGAGAATGAAATTATAATTTCATTCTATTATTATAGCTTATTTGTGTTGACTAACATTTTATCAAAAACATTTTGGTATTATGATCCTTGTAGCAGCAAATCTAAATTGTCACATAGCCAATGTGTAGTGGTTGGATCATAAGTCATTTCCTTTTTATTTTGCACCTATTAATAATGCAACTAGCTTAGCAAATAGCTTAGTATGCAGATTAGCTTTACCTGGAGTACCTATTTAGTTTTATCTGGTTTCTGTAAAGTATTGACAAGGAACCATTGTTAGTGCTTATACTTGTTATTTAGAATTGAATTGGTGTTATTTTAAAGATCATCCTGGTTACCAAATTTAACAATATCATTGACTTATGGATAGGACACTATTTAACAGAGTTGCTGCAGCTCAATTCAAAATAATTTTACAAATAATTAACGAAACAATGATAAAATTGATTTTCAAACTGGTATTTAACCGTGAGAGATTACTTGAACTTTATTTGGAGACAAAAGTTTTTATATTGATAAAATAAAACTGTATCAGCAATCTGACTCATTTTCTCCCATTAGCCTGATGTTAATAATTATTTATTGTCCTACTACTTTTGTAAGGAAAAAAATTAAATGAGTGGTGGGAGTAACTATGAATTTTTTTTTAATTGCAAAATAACAAAAAAAGCTATGTATAAGTTTTGCAGCATAGTGTTTACAGCTAGCAGGCTATTATTCATTTAGTTGAAAGTACTACCTATATAAAAAATTTCAACAAAACTGTTAGAGCTGTTTTTTTAAAAACTACAGTACATTCTTCTGTTAATGTACATGGGTTTTATGAAGAAATCACAACTACAAAAAAAAAAAAAAAAAATAATAGAATAAAAAAAAATAATTGGAAAAGCTTATAGAGGTTTAGATTCTGGCTCTGTACATAAAACTTATAGACATAACTTTGAAGAGGATATTTCACTCAAAACTCAAACTAAAAAAAAAACCAATAATTTCTCCATGTAATGTATGGAAAAATAAAATAAAAACTGAAACACTTGTTAATGCCAAATATAGACTCAACTAACTGTCCTTAGTTTAAAGCAATGTGGGCAATATAGTATATGACTAAAAATGGACTGTTGAATGAGGAAAAAGGTAGAAAGACATCAAACAAATACACTCTATAAACAAACCTAAAAATATGACACAACTTTGCACTTACAAGCAGCACTTGAATGAGAACAACTGGGCAAAGAAATTGTCATTCATCCACAATATTTTAATAAATAAAAGTACAAATATATGCAAACAAACATTAAACTACAAATTTGTTAACACTTACATAGGTTATTATCACAGACTATCGGCAATTACATGACGTATACAACAGTTTATACAGTCTTAACTAGATTGTGTTGATTTCTGAGGTTTCTGACATGGCCGCGAGAGGATCACCATCTTGTCAAGAATGTACAGGATCTGAAAGATAAAAAATATGATTAATAAGAATAAAAAAAAACTTGACTCATTGTTATAATCAGCAAAGTGTATTAAAAGTGAAAAATCGATTAGTGTTTCCAGTTTGGAGAAAAATTATAACTAATTCTATAAGTTTACATTATGGTTAACCGTGTAAAATTCTTTAAGGATACATTGGGTTGAATTGAATTCTTTGAGACAGCGACACACACTTAGGTGCATATATTAAGCTGAATATGATAGCAAGAGGTGAGTGTAGAATGGAGTGACATGACATGATCTTTGTTACTGACTAAAACCATGGACAAATATATAATTATATATAGACCGACATCAGTGCTGCAGTTACATAAGTTCTGGCGTCCACCGCTGGGAGCGCCGTGTAGATTCGTATCTCATGCGCAGCAACTACACAGTGCTCCCAGCGGTGGACGCCAGAACGTATGTTAAACGCAGCACTGCTGTCGGTCTATATTTAATTCTATTTGTCTATGCTAAGACCAGCTGTTTCATTAGTCATTTCACTAGTCAGTATATTTATTAAAATCCCATTGATCAAGGATAGCTGGGCTTAATTTTGAACCATCTAAAGGCTACTGACTTTTCTCACGATTTACAGTTCGGCCAAAACTTCTGTGCGAGCGGACGGGTCGCTACTATTCAAACTAAAACATATGGGTACCGGTTATTGGCAGTGCTGGGGGTGAGTGAGTAGCAATACAAACATGTTTTCATAAACCAACCCCTTTGCCTTGACCCAACCAGATCTTCTGCCTGAACCATAACTGGTGACCTTTTGATTAATGGGTGAGCACTATGACCATTTAGGATACCCAGCTCTATGGTACCAACTATAAGGTAAACTTATGGTCTATCTATAAGGTGTTTCACCAAATTTAGTTTTACGATTAACTATATTAATATGCTTGAAAGAATTGCTGTCACTATTCTACTCAAGTGTTAATTATTTACCCAAAACATAATATCAGTGTGCATCACAATCTTGAGCTTTGTTTTGGCAGTAGGAACATGAAGTTGTGTCTTCGCTGCAGGAACAACTAACACTGCTGTAGCTGGCCTCCTCCCATGCTCTGTCTCCAGATACTGCAACCAACAAAATAAAAGGTATCAGCCTGACACATTCTTTCTTCAATTGCTCGACAAATTGTGTTTGGATGTTCTCAGTAGTGAACCAGCCATTTTTCAATCACCACTTTAACAAGCCAGGTTTATTTGATTAACATATCCAGGGCTTCTAAAAGCTTTTGATTTCTATAATATCTTACTCAGCTTGTAAATAGTTTTGGATGATTTAAGATACCTCATAAACTCACCAGTTGGAATGTGTCTGTGAGTATTTTTATCAGTCATCTGACAACAGCAAGGACAGTGGTTGTGTTCGTGCCTGGAACACATGCAAAAATGTTCATTTATTCATAAAATTCCACAAATACACATCATACCGAGATAATATCTCAGTGATATTATTTCAAATACCAATAACTTAGATTAATTGCAGTGCCTAATAGATTTATCATCCTTATAGATCAGCTAAAGATAGTTATTGAAATGTTATTTCTGTCTGCTGCATAGGGACGTGTTGATCGTGTCCCTCCCCAGGAAAATTGTTGAAAATTAGACCTGTAAACTTGCATTTTTTAAATTGTAGGAAAAAATTTAATTGTAAAAAAAGACCGTTTAAGTTCTAGGGGGGAGGGGGGTTCAAACCCCTAAACCCCCCCCCCCTGGATACGCCACCGGTAAAGGGCAATCATTCACTGCCTGAGTCAGCTGCATATAGTCACTTAACTGATCCGCATAATATACAGTGGAACCTGGATAACAAGACCCTTGAATCAAAGAAGAAGTAAATTTTGATGAATAGTGTAATTTTCAAGGATTCTTGATTTTATATAACTCCTAATGTAATTGCAAAACTCGAGTCAACCTTCATAGAGTCTTATTTTGATAATAATCTTCATGAGAAATTCGTTGTTGAGGTTTTACTGTAGTAACTAAAACGGTAAAGTTTTACTGACCTGTGGATGTGGTCGTGATGTCTGCTAGCGAGGGAATTGTCCTGAGATTGACTCCGACACACAGGAGCATTCTGGTGGCATTTGCAGGAACTGTTGTTGCTGCTGCCTGTGTGGTAGCCGGAAGGGAAACTGGGTGCCTTTAAACATATTATAAAGAATTAGTTTCTTAAATGGTAAATATTTTGTTTGGAACTGTTTGTAAATGCACATATAAAACAATTATTTTGCACTGGTGTACCAACAAAATACAACCATATCATTCAGTGTGGAAGCCTAGGACTGAAAACAGAAAATAATCTAGACTCATTTATTCAAGTACCATATTTCCACCCTTAATACAAACTCAAATGTTTTGACGTAAACAAGTTTCTCCACATACTATGCATATGGGGGAAAGTTAAAGGAGTTGGATATCTTGCAGCATTTTTTTGAGAAAACATGTTTTGACCCGTAAAACGTATTCCTAATTTTTTGTATTTGCTTATGGTAAGAGGACACTCTGTATATTTTACAAATGTATGTCAAGGTTTGTAATCTTTTCAAATTGGTATACCTGATTGGCCTGCCAGCACTGAGCGTAGAGAGCTAAGCCAAGGTTACTGTCTCTCGAGTGATGGCTGCAAGTGCCAAGACTCTTCTTGGACATTGGTGGACTGCCTCCGCATATACCCTGGAACATTGGAGAAATCATAACCTAGCAGTTAAAAAAAAACAAAAAAAAAACAACAGCTTCATACAACACCTGTGGCCCGATTTAGATACAAATTGAGTGAATTTTTGGTATCTCCAGGAGTTTTTTTTAACTTTTATTTTGAATGAGGATTTTCTTATAAATTACTAAACAACAAAAGAAAAATCTGATTTATACATAACCGGGTCTAACGATTTTAATTGGAATTTAGTATGTTAGAACCCTTTTAACCCTGAACAAAATGACACAAACCAACTTAATGCTGTAAAAATCTAAGGTCCAAAAGACATTGCAGTTTTTATGATTTCCCTCGTAAAATATTATCAAAATATACAGCTACAGACTACTCCTCTAATCCTGAACTCTTGTATGTTGATACTATTCAAATGAATATCAATTTTCAATTTAAAAAATTATGAAGGTTTTGACGGAAGTTTCTTGCTTATAAAACTAGTATGGTGTTCAATTTTACTGTCAAGATAAAATGGGAAAAAGTATGTATCATTTATTTGTTTACCTAATTGTTGCTGATACCGTTTATTTATTTTCCTTTTAAGTTCATCACTTACCTGTGGTCTTGGAGGGGGAGGGTGTTGAGGAGGAGGGGGTAGAAAGGCTGTCCAGTTAGTCGAGGTCTCCTTCACTGTACACTGCTGACACCGCTTTTCTGCCTCTGCAAATTCATAAATATTAACTATTTCATTCCACGCATGTGCTGTGCTTGTTATTACTTAAGAACATAAGGTTCTAAAAAAATTGGGCATTAGAACTTTGTACTTATTAGGAAATGAACATTGACAAAATAGATCAGAAAGTGTGTTAAATCATCTGAACTATATTTTATATACAACTTTTTATAAGTGTCAACTACAAAAATGTTTAAATTATTACCCTGTTTATTTACCTCCTGAGTTCATGAGTAATTTTTCCATGAGGCAATTAAATAAATTCAATATTTAAGGTTCTTGAAAGTAGGGAGATCGTCAATGGAAAGTTTGTGGCTTATTCTGAGGTAAGCGATTGGTTGAGTTCCCCTTACCTCGGATCTCCAATGTGGACTTGTTCTGCTCCTGTCTCAGCCAAGAGTCCCCGGATGTGGATGTCTTAGTCCCGGATGAGGAGCTTGACACAGGGACTATGAGAGGTCCCGTCTCCTGTCGGATCAATACAAGTGACTTAAAACTTGGTTGTTAAACACAAGTTTTAATATAAAAAGTTTCCCTGGATTTCAAAAGAAGGTTATTCTATACCTACATTTAAAAGTTAAGGCAAAAATATATTTCAAATCAGATTCCAGATCTCTGTAAATGTAAGAACTGTCACTATAATCGTGATGGGAAATTAATATGATTGGAAACAATCTCTCTAACAAAAAGTAAACCTGACAATTGTCTGGTAAAAGAGCTCTCCTTCATATTTGAGAGTCCCTGGTTCGATTCCAAATGCACAAAGTAGTAAGGCACAGAGGAAACATTCAATGGTACACTTAAGTGGTGTCTAGCACTAGTTGCTGGTGTCAGGACAAGGTCCAACACAACCCCTCTCGCCATCATGTACTAAAATGCTCACGGTGAAAAAGAACCCTGTGTCCTGTGCAATAGGAATTTCTGCACAGTACTTGCGGCTCTGGCTCTTCCTTGCTCGTCACAAGTATATTTCAGGCTCAACGTAAAGCAGAATGCATACAATCGTCTCATAAGCAAGTTTCCTCTATACCTTACTTCTTTGTTGTCTATGTCAATTAATGTCACTGGGCTATCGATTTACATTGCAGTATAACCACAGGTCATCATTAGATTTAGGAAGACAAGAGCTTGGACTGTTCCATCACAAAGAAATGTTTTAACTACTAAAGGCATAGATAGACACAAAATACAGAAGTATCCTGTCACTCACACTGCAGCTGTCCTGTCTGTTGTTCGGCACAAGGATGGTCGTTGCGTAAGGTGTCGGACTACACACGTCTCTCCCTCCGTAGAAGCTACTGAGATGTTGTGTGTCGACTTCCGCGTAGTCACTACCCTCCAAGGTGACATGCTTGCGAGGATGTTCATGAGGAACTTCTATCCACAGAGCCTCCTTGACTCCTCCCATCAGACCCAGCCGAGGGAGGTCGGAGACGTTTACCGCTGGGAATAAATTTGAAGGTAAAAGAGATAGCATCAAATTGTGTATTGAGTTTGTGCAAATAACACATTGACGATTTGTAACAATTAATTTTGAAGTGGCACATGATTTCGCACAGGACTGATGTGTTCCTGATGAAACTTTTAAAATGGTTAATTGTGTTGGAGGTTTGATTGGTTAAGAGGTTGGAGACCCCTACTTCAAATTTTAGGAAGAAAATAGTAATCTATATTAATGAACACCATGAATATGTAAAATTTTATGTAAGTGCAATATGTTCAATTTCAGAAGATAACTTTCAGCTGGCCCTTTTAAATAAAATGTCTAGTTCAGTATCAAATAGTCAACGCTGTTTTCTATTGTACTGTTTATTTAGTCAAATGTAAACATGCAAATTACCTCTACAACTTCTTCTCTAAGATGAATTACCTGAGAGGTGGGATATCTGCTTTGTGCGTCTGCGGAGGTAGAACGCAGCAACCAACACAGTCACCAACACAACCGCAGCAACAGCCGCAGTCAACACCAGCCAAAGCTGCGGAGTTACAAGGCTGCGGTAGGCGTCAGGGCCACGAAGACTCTGCACCTGTAAACAATCTACTTGTAACAACTTTATACAGGGTGAGTTTTAAATGAGTTCCTCCCCCCTACTTTTTTCTACATTTCTTAAGATATCAACTCCGGACCACGTCAGATCATTGTAGAGTAGTGAGTATTTCATTTTGATTGGGTATAAAGTTTCGCCCGCCATCTTGGATCCGCCATATTGGATACAAAATATTATTTTCAAATGTAAAGGTGGGGTTGTGACCCATCGTTTCAAACTCAATTTTTACGCTGAATACAATGCTGCAATCTGTTTTTCAAAATCTTAATATTTTATGTCTAAGTGATAATGGGGCAACCCTCTAGAAGGAGTCAAAAGGTATGTGCAAAACAGTTCCTGGGCTGGAGCCTTCCTTCTAGATTGTCAAGGTGGCACAAAAAAACTGCTTACCTATGTAAGCTTTGAAGTCAGATGTTTTGTTACCTGTGCTGAAGGACCCGGACCAATCCGAGTGAACGCCTTGAGACTAACAGTGTAAATGTGTCCTTGAGTCAAGTTGTTCACCAGAACTGACATTGCTGAGGCATTCAGTCGCAGAGTCCTAACAGGGCGATGGTGGCTGTTTTGAACCATCAGCTGCAAACAGTTTAGACAGTGATAATTTGGTCACACTAAAAATATTAGGTAATTTGATTGTGATTGCACTATTTGAGCATACATTTTAATGGTAGCTATCGATTGATGTTCATCCACAACTACTGTACCAGAACTCTGTTCACAAAATTTAGGGGGTTTGAGGGGAAGTTTTCCCACCACTTTTTTGTGCTTAATGTATGTTTTGCAATCAGCTGTTGAGCTATTATGGACAAGTGAAGCTACCCTAACATCAGTGTGTATACCTCGTATCCCAATAGATGACCGTTGCAGTGTTGTAGCGGAGGGGGAGACCAGTGTATGAAGGCAGAGGAAATATTGACCCAGGCAATCTCTAGGTGTTCCGGCGGAGCTGACGGAACTGTCAAACAATACACCATCAAAATAAAACCAAATAGGGGCTTGTCAAAATAACAAAATACAGTAATGTTTTTACATATGTAACCATACATGTATGTATGGGGAAATAACTTAGAACAGTAGGAAGAAATTGTAGAGAATAATGTTCGTATAGTTTTTAATCCTTTGTTTTAAATTCACTAGTTAACCGCCCGTGCTCCGCCACGGGAATATTGTCAGCAATAAAAGAAATAATAATTAACAAATACTGTTTATCTTTGTATTTTATTTAGGGGTTGTTTAATTTTTTACATGAAATAGAACTGATAGTTTGCCTGTATAAACTATTTTATGTTAATCAAACCGATATATTATTTTAACCAAATGGATGTTTAATATTAATTCGAGTTTCATTTGAAAAATAAATAGGTAGTATACGAACTGGGCAATGCTGATAACCTAATAAGCAGCTATTTATGATATTTAGATAATTTGCTCAAGCATATTCCTATATTCGTCGTTTTTTCATTACATTTGTTGTATGGAATAAAGATAGTCACTTAGCCTACATGTAAATCACGCATCAGCAGTCGGTCACATTTCACGAATCTTTGACCCATACTGTGAGTAAAAGCTGTGTTTACGTCGTATATATAAAGTTGGGCATACTTTGTTCAATGTTAGAGGGTATTAACGGCCCAATTTGATGGAAAAGGAGTCGTGGATTTTAAAACTATGTAGACTACCATTGCCAGAAAGATGTTGATTCAATTGAGACTTAAAACTGGCCATTTCAAATGCAGATTTGTATTATATTTTACTCAAATAGTTTTTGTCTCTTTTGACCCTTAATACTTTTTTTATAGTCGCTGTTGATAAGATTTTCCATAAACTCAAAATGTTGATAAGGAGTTCATTTTACCTTCCCCTTGTGACAACATAAGGAAAAAATATTTGTGTCCCAGTTAGTCTGTTCTGACTCAAAATTCATAGATTTGCAGTACTGACAAATCAAATCTAACGACCCCAATTAAAAAAAAAAATGGTATTTTTTAGAAGGGACTTTCAGAGCACATTTAACACCATCACTGCTCTTTACCTTTTTAGCTCGATGGTTCTCTACATGTTTTTTTTTGATCTGTATGTCTCTTTACGCCCAGTTAATGATTACCTTTTCTTTTTCTTTTCGTACTTTTCACATCATGGGGTTAATGATAAGGTTTTATAACGCTATAATGACCCAAGTCAACATTGCCATTAAATATCAAGTCAGATACTTCTTCGCCAGAACCGAAATCGTAAGTCACAGTTTCTCAAGCAACTTCCCTGTGTAGGCCTACTCGAACAAATATAGTTAGAGTATGCCTATAGTTCACTGATAAATTGTAGTTCCAAATATCCCAGCGTACTCGCCATCTCGAGAAGGTAAAATTTGACGTCGAACACTGGTCTTGAGTAAGATTAATCACTTACGATAAAATGTTTGTATGTTTACCAATCATTAGCAATTATCTGTACAACTTGCAAGCGGATTTCCCTATGATTGTGCTGGTGGCTATAGAGAATAAATTATATTGATCAAAACAATAAGTTTCCGTCCCCTACTATATGGGTATTATTTCACATTCCATACTCAAACTTAAACTCAATTACCACTTTCCTTCAGATCACTTTGCAGGAAAACTAAAACATTTTTGTGTCCCAGTTAGTCTGTTCTGACTCGAAATTCATAGATTTGAAGTAGTGACAAATCCAATCTAACGACCCCAATTAAAAAGAGTTGGTATTTTTTGTAGGGACTTCCAGAGCACATAACACCAACACTGCTCTTTACCTTTTTAGTTCGATGGTTCTTTACATTTTCCCCATGATTATTCTGGTGGCCGTAGAGAATAAATTATATTGATCAAAACAATAAGTTTACGTTCCCTACTATGGGTATTATTTCACATTCCACACTCAAACTTAAACTCAATTACCACTTTCCTTCAGATCACTTTGCAGGAAAACTAAAACATTGTAAAAATAAGTTAACAAATACACTTTCCTTGATCAAAATTGTGTGTTCATAAACAGAAACTCCAAGTTTAATAATTGCATACTGAAAGTGAGGTTATAAAAATAATAACAAATGTCTGACAAACATTAAACAGCTGACGAATAATTTATAAACTGTGTATTATATTTTTCAATAAGAATTGTATTGACTCGACCTTTAAAGGGCTGTAGGTCGTAGCCCTTACAAAAAATGTAAATTCTAAGGAAGTTCGGCAAATCTACACACTATCCCCTTTAAAATTTAAGACATAAATCTTGTAGATCGGTCCAGTAATTACTGAGAAAACAGTGTTACAACTGTGTATTAAATATATAGATTTATTAGAGGAGTGGAGTACGATTTTGTTGCATACTTTTATTCAAGTCAATAAGTGTATGTCGTATGTCTTATATGGTTTTCCTATTTTTCAATGCTATAACAGACATAGATTTGACATTACACTATTTGGTACGGTGTTTACTTAAGACTTTTCAAAATTTGTACTGCATTAATTTATTTTTCTCATTTATCATTTTTTTGACTCAACAATTTTTGTATACCACCATTATAAGATGATAAACATAACATCTTTGTACTCTACAAAGAAGCATTTTAACCAATGAAAAGGAGGCGAGATGAGTCAAATTGTCTAATCTTTGTTTCTTTAGCCAGGACCATTAAAAGCCCAACACAATCAAAGACTGCAGCCAGGTCAGTTAGGAACCATCAAAAAACTACTTTTACGTTAAAAAATCTTTCTGATTGCTAAACGATCACTACGATCATTCTGCTACACCATAAAACTTACCATCCTCCATGGTTTGCACCTCCATAGAGTTAGAGGGGAACCCCTGCACAGACCTGTAGAAAGGCACGATGAACACCTGGTAGAAGGAGTATTTGCGCAGTCTCGTCAGTGTGTGAGTCGTGGCATCTGTGTTCAGCAGAGTCGATACTTGGAATTCCTGCGAACCTCTTGTTTCGTCTCTATACCTGATGTACAAACCTTCTACAAACTGGGGGTCAGGAATCTGGAACAGGTAGTTTGAAAATTTTTAAGGTACTTTTGTCAATTATTTAGGTATTAGGATCAATGATCATGAATAATCTCATATGAGTTGAAAATAATTATAGATACATTTACAATGTTGTTGATGGAGAAGGGTTGTTTATAGCGTTATATCCTTCATGAGGAAAGCTATTGTTTTTGTATTCAAAGGTCCTTAGGATGATTTTCAGTCCAACTTTCGATGATAGAATTTGGAAGATCATACACGATTAATCCACCCCCTAAAAAGATTTAAGATCCTGACTCCTGAAAGATTTAAAGCCAAAGGTTACGTTGGTTTTTTAGGAAAGAAAAGAGCTAACTCAACAGTATATAACAGCTTCTTCCTGATGAAATTCCCTTAAAAGTAATTCTTGAATATTTCTTGAACACAGAAGACGAGCTTAATGGGTTCAACCAAGATATGGTGCAACCAGGTTTATGTGGAGGATAGCATGGACGATACCCACTGTAGAGGCTTTGTTGATGAGGCCAAGTACTCAAACAATTGGCAACTTCAGTAAGAATGTAAGTGAGTATTATGCTTCAAAGTTGTTTCAGATCCTTATAGGACAAAAACTCCAAACAGAATCACAATCTAACTAATTGGGTCTTAGGTTCCTAAATTTAGAATTTTTGCAATTCAATGTATTTAACTCTTAACTCTCACCTGCCAAATAAGAGTGATGGCAGTGGAGCTGACAGCCTGAATGTGCTTGAGCAAAACTCTGGGTTTGGCAGACAGCTGAGTTCTGGCGAGTTGCAGTTGAGGCGAGTTGTCTGAGCTCAATGTCCGAGTTACGGTAGAGAACTCGCTCGGCAATGACAACACATCTCCGATCTCGGCTCTCACCACAAACATGTAGCCTGTATCTGGTCTCAGGTCAGATACCTATCAAAAGATTGCTACTGTATCACAAGTTTATTTTCACATTTTAAATTTTACCACATTTAAACCCAACTTAATATTTTATATACCACCACTTATTTATTGTTATCATTGCTAGTCACATTGTCTTGTCTTATTAATGCCAACAGATTTTGTTGTTGTTTCATTGTTAAGTCAAGTAATAGATTGGCTCATTACTTTAGGCAGTTTTGTGTTCTTCTCATTTTGTTTTTGTTTTGACCCTTCATATCACTCTTCTATGTTGCTCAGATTTGTATCTCTAGATTGTAAATAATTTTTAAAGTTGTTTGTTTGTAATGTAGTTGCTTGTTGCTAATTTTATAACTGTTATCTTGTCAATTGTAAAATGCTTGTACTAATTTAAGTCCATATTGTAAACTGGTTTATGCCGTTAACAAACAAATTGAATTGAATTTAATTAGATTGAGTTGAAACCCACTTATACAATTATAGCCACACACAGTAAATCCAAATTTTTAAACAAATGAAGGATTCAAGTTGTCCAGGATAATGAAAGTCCACGAATGAAATGAAATGAACTTATGAAGAAAAACAGTGGATAGTGCAAGTAGACTTCATATCCTATTGTACAATTTGAAATCTCGTTTTAATTTATTGTGTTCAAGTTTGATGACATTTGAATGATTTTCCTTTATGTAACTATGAAGGTGGATTTTACAAATTGTGTTCCACACTCTTTGGTACCATATCCGAGAATCAACAGTTTATAAATTAGATAGTTTTAACTTATGTGGCTGAAAAAATAGGTAGAGTATAAAAAGAAACAAATTGTAAATGATGAATCACCCTCTTATAAACTGGACAAAACTAAACTACTTGAAACCCATTCGCTATGATTAAAATCAATTTTTTTTTTTTTTTCTTTAAAGAGGTTGGCGGCCTCTTTTAACCTTGCATTTGCCCGTCCACATAGACTAAGCGCCCGTGCGTGGATCGTTTGCAGCAAAGCAAGGAGTGAGCCGGTACAGTACAAAGGTGAACTGTACTGATAAAATGTTATCGGCAGTGACCAGGATCCGAACCCACGACATCGCTGTCTTGGGCCCGAAGTCCGCGACGCTACCGACTGAGCCACCGACTCACTTTAAACACTAATGTTCCACACTAATGTTAAACACTCTAATGTAGTATCATTAGAGGAAAAACATAAAATCAAAAATTTAAAAACCAAGATCACACCTTGAGCATGGTAGAATTCCACCCCTTAGCTACTGTAACCCAGCCGGTCTGTAGATCTGGACTGTAGTACTGCACTGTGTATCCACTGATATGCGCAGAATCAGCAGGTTTCCACACAACTGTCAGACTATTCTGCGTACTGTTGACAATCTGTGGGACCGCAGGAGCTGCAGGGGGTGGCGTGAGGTCCAAAGTTTCATTCTGTATCTCCATCTGGGGGTCGACAACCACTATCGCTGTCCAAGAACTCTCTCCAGTGTTTGTACTCGCTGTGCATGTGAATAGTCCGGAGTCACTCTGTTGTAAGTCTGTAAGAGATAATTTTTATTTACTGAAAGTACATAAAATATGTCCAATACCACTTGAAGCATATGCACCTACTGTATACTGTTGACTCATAGATGTTAAACACATATATAATAGATGGTTAGTGGTGATCGATTTTGATTGGACACTCCTCAGATCATTTTCATCAGACCTGATAGGCAAATCACAAGAACCTCGTCCCCACTTATATCATAATTGCTACCGGAAGTTCCAGGCAATAATTTTCGAGTGTAGGAGTTTTGCCAACGGGTATCAGGTAGAAAGGGTCCCCATCCATGAATTCCACATACTGCGGAGTTTTGCCAACGGTTGTGGGTTGCGCGAGAGGGGGAGGGGGAGAGAGATTACACGTGACCGTGAGGGTGGCTTCTGCTAGGGGTGGACAAACCAGGCAGGATGCTGACTTGTGTTCAAAGTATGTAATGCAGTTATGCACCTCTGACTGTGAAAGGAAATGTATTGAATTTTTAACCTAACCTAACCTAACCTAACCTAACCTAACCTAACCTAACCTAACCCACTGCGACAAGCGCATAACTGCCAAGCGTAGACAACCCTGACAATCGCTCTCCTTCCGGACGTCACACTCTTTCTCCCACCACCACCGTTGGCAAATCTCCGCACCAAGAGGTGGCCGAAGGCATCCCCCCCATCTACCTGACACCCGTTGGCAAAACTCCGGTTCCCATAATTTTCTATAAGGACTAATGGACACATATGTGGTTTTTAATAAGTTTAACAATGTATACAGTGTTTGCAATGTAAAAGCTATCACAATCGTTCCAATTTGTTCTGTAGATACCCGAAGCGTTAAATTGATCACATTCTATAAAGTAATATTTATAGCTAACATTGAATTTTGGATACTAAAGTAGACATCCCATCTACACGGACCAGCCAATTGCCTATGGCTGGCTAGGTCAAGTTACCAATCATCAAAAGCTACTGACTTCTCTCAGGAACAAACTGGTAATCATCTAACTGGAAGGCACACCATAACCACCCATCTGTACAGCTACCTGTTACATGTACAGAGAAGTAAGGTTCAGAGGAAACACACTTATGGGACGACCCTGCACTTTCAGCTCTGGTAAATTGTGCAGGAAATATACTTGGAAGTCTTGGAACTAGCCAGGAAGAGGCCATGCGACAAGCACTGTGCGGAAATTCCTATCGCACAAAGGTCTTCCTCCACAGTGGACGTTGTAGTACGTTATGGAAAAGGGGGGTGGTGGGGGGAACCTTTGCCTTAGACACCAGCAAATAGTGTTAACAACTTAAATGTACCATTGAATGTTTCCTCTATATCTTACTTCTCTCTGTCGTTAAATCTACAGATAAATTTAAATTCAACATATTAATCGATTGTATGTATATTATTTCCACCTAAACATACCCTCCACAAAGAGTGTTCCGTTTGGCCACACAGAGGTTCTGGGACTAGTCTTGCCCACAGGGAATCCATCCTTGTACCACTGGATGTCCGGAGGGGGGAGATTCTGGGGTCCCCGAGCCTGACAGGGCAGCACCAGAGGGGAGTGAGGAGGCAGCGTCTGATTGGTCGGTCCAACCTCTACTAGGGGAGGGGGAGGAAGCGGGTCCTCTTTGACTACCACCTGGAGCAGACAGAAACCGACTGGGTAGAATCAAGGAAAAACTCAAGAAGTTTTTCTCAGTTTGGAAAAATAACAGTTGAAGACGCAGCAAATATGTAAAAAATTAAAAAAAGTAAAAGGCAAATTTTAATTAATCCATTAGTTTTAAATTAAAAAAGCTAAAGGTCTAAAAAATAAAAATGAATATTTGAGGGTTTTTAATTTTAACAATTCTTAATGTACAATAAGACAACACAAATACGCCACTTAATTAGACAGAAATAAAAATTTATAAAACATTTTGCTTATACTCAGTGTGATAGACCATCAACAATTGATCCTGATTGATGATTGTTTCGCTAAAAATAATAATAAAATAAAATGCTGGAATTTCAAAGATTTAAAGATTCTAAAGACGCCTAGTTAACAAAAACTTTTATCGTAAAATAGATGAGCAGAAAGTGGTTACTTCTTGTTTAAACACATAGTTCTGTGAATAAAGCTTTTGGTAAACAACATGTGAGTTAATTCATAGCCCATTGAAAAATGGAACAGGGTCGAAAGGAATAATTGATAATTACAATAGACAATAAACATATACTGGAATTAAAGTATCTTTCAAAACTACTCTTTATAAATTTTTAAAATATCCAAGAAAAATACCAACTCACCTGTAAGTAAGCTCTAGCAGAAGCAGATCCGGCGAGACTCACAGCAGAGCAGACAAAGTACCCGGAATCTTCCCTCAGGACTTCTCTGATCTCCAGAGTCCCGGAGTCCTGGACCGTGATGTGTCCGTAGTTCTGTCCAGGAAACATAAGAGTATGACTATCCTCCCGGCTCCAGAATGTGGTCGGAGTTGGGTTTCCTGTGATTATACACTCCAGGCGGGCTTCAGCGTTCAATGCCACCTTCAAATCCTGCGGCCGCTCCACAAATTCTGGAGGCGCTGTTTTGAAAAAGTATTATTGACTACTAGATAATATGTTGTAGCCATAATTGATATAGGTTAGATTATTTTATTTTACCTTTGACTATCAATTTTACCCTGACTCTCCAAGTTGTGTATTTTAGTATACAAACTGAAGTCAAAATCGACATCATTAAGTCTATAAATAAGTAAAATGTAGTATAACTCCTTCACGAGGTTTGCAAGGACAGTTCCCACAAACTATATGACAATAAGCATGAAGTTTCCAGTACCGGTTATGTTAATAATACAGGTCCCTTAAGACCTGTATTGCTCGCTGAACGTGGAAAGGAACATCAAAGTTAAAATCAAGCATAGGTCAGATAAGTTTCATCACAACATATGAGGAATTAATTTAAAATGTTCATTAGTTAATATTTTCTCACAGCCTATCTAAATCTCTGCAACCTTCCAGTATGTTTTGTGAAACATTGGCTAGGATTTCCCACTGTAGGAACTATCAACACTCTGTAGAAAGAGCTAGTCTAATGGTAGCGGTTGGGACTTTAGTTCTTAAAGTCCTGGGTTCAAATCCCGCCAATCATCAATGGATTTTGTCTAAGTGATAATGCCACAACTCTTTAGACCTGGCCTAAAGTAATGTGAAAACTGTGGCTAATGTCTAGTCCTAGGATCTGAAGGGGAAGACAATTTTTCTCACCGTGCACAGTAAGGGTGGCTCTAGCAGTGACAGCTCCGACGTCGTTCTCTGCGTCACATATGTACTCTCCCTCGTCTCCAGGCTGGGTCTGCTCTATCCGCAGTGTTCTGTCATCTAACACGTGAGCTCTCCCCACAGGCATACGTCCGTCGTGTCGTCTCCACAACACACGGGGCTGAGGCTCTCCCGCAACTCCGCACTCAAATTCCACACTCTCCCCTGCCACCGTGACAACATCGCGTGGTGCTGAGATCAGGTACGGCTTCTCTGGAAAAGTGTAAGATGATAATTTATGATGAAAACAGAAGTAGAGTGAATAAGCTCTTAAATTTGCAAGTCATGGTTTTTATGCATCTTCTTTATACAGGTTCAACCCTTGGAGGTACATTTTCGGTGTATAATATACTTTGTAAGTTTGATCAAGATAAATTATATTACCCTTGTCAGTATTGCTAACATGCTTCTACTTTCAGATCTTTGTACCTCAAGGTATTTCAAAATTCTTTAGAACCGTTATATAACAGAACATGGAAAAAGTCATGGGAAGAAATTATTTTAGGATTGTTGTTCAAGTATTTATATGTTATTTTGTATAGTTCTATAAATTTGTATAGTCCTATTCATAGAAGCCCCATTGCACACTAGCCATTGCCAATGACGAGGTGATAGTTCTACACCGAAACTCCTTAACAATACTTATCTTTTAAAAACAAAGAATTGTTTAAGCTACTACTGACTATTTCTCTATTGATTACCAGGACCTTCTAAGATCCTGTAGCTGTTTCGGAGACCTTAACTGCACTAAATACTATTTATAGAAAGGACTTACTGTGCACTGTCAAGGTGATGATGTCGCTGTACCTGATGCCAACTAAGTTCTGAGCCACGCATTGGTACTTCCCAGCATCACTCAGTTGAACATTGGAGATCTGGAGGTTGCCTCCATCAACTATTCTCATCCTGGGAACATGGGAAATAAATAAGTCATATTGAGGAAGGAGAAGAGATTTGATTGGGAAAGGAAGAAGAAACATTCAGTGTAGGAGAAAAATATTTGAGTTAAAAAAATTTAGCTTTGAGATTGTAGGACAGAAGATTTTAGAGTAGAGGAAAGGACGATTGGAAAATACTAAAGAAGAGAAAAAAGACGTTTGAAAGGGGAATGGAAGGAGCAAGCGGTCAAAGGTTGTTGTTGAGAAATAGTTGAGGAAGTTTAGAAGAGGAATGATATTGAGTTAGAAACTACAGTGGGGACGAAGGAAAGGAAGGCAGTATACTAAGGTGTGATAGTGTACTCAGTCAAGCTTTCAGTAGGAGAAAAGGGGAGTTTGGACTCCAAGTGGAAGAAGAGCGTCAAAGAATTGAGTAGAAAAGAAACTAGTTTAGATTTGAAGTGGAAGAACGTAGCTAAAGAAAGAGTGAGTTTAGACTGGGAGTGTAAAAATAAGGATGCAGTATCAATCTTTAACTCATAACATTCAGGGGAGGTTGAAGATCGAAAATGTGAAGAGCCGTAAATTGTAAATGGGGAAATAGTGGTTTAGAGATATGAAATGTACCAAAATATTGCTCTTTTGGTAGGCTAATTTCTTGCAATTACAAAGATAGATATATAAAATGGAAGAAGCAAGAAAAAGAAGAATAGAGTTGGAGAAAGAAATGGAAGTGCTGGACAAGAAGAACCCATCAATATGGGATAAGGATGGAATGCGTCCTTGGGGGAAAATCTGCTGATTTTATATTCACGCCTCATAGAAACTTTAAAGTAAAAAAATGTCATAATTGCTGATGAGATACATAATTTTAAGGAATGCCTTGAACAAACGATAAACTTAACAACAAAACTGTTGATTTAAATCTTAGAAGTATTCAAAAAACATCTCATTTGGAACTTTCTGTCTCAATATAGTCTTTAAAAATGGTGTTTGGACAAACCGGTCAAATATCTCCAGATTGATCTGTTCCCCGTTTCTTCTCCAGTGCACAACAGGCTCCGGTGTTCCTCTGGGTGGGCCACACTGCAGCAAAACCTTCTCACCCAACGCTGACCTCGTGTCCTTCGGCTCTGTGCGGAACTCATCTCTCAACACTGGAAACAAACAAACAAAAGTCAGAAAACTGTGAATTGGATAAATTGTTTAATCGTTCATCATTCAGTGGTTCAGTTGTTGAATCGTTCAATTTTTCAACCGCTAAATCAACCAATCATCCAACAACTTAGTCATCCAGTCAATGAATCATTTCACTAATTTTCGGATGTTCGGAACATGTAAACCACAGAAAGCAATATTTTTTCCTGTTCTTTTGTAAATACTGTACCTTAACTACTTCAAAATCGTATTTCAATTGGTTATTTAGTTTTGAATATTCATTGCCTGAAAGTATTGTGCAATCAGAATTATTATATTCACTTCCACCAGTCATACGTTTACAAACTGAAGTTCCAACAAACATACGGTTATTACAACCATTATTTCTGTAAGTATTTTACTTTATTCATGTATACTTTGTAAAATAAACCCCTTTTTCATTTTATTTTGTTTTACATACAGCACACACATAAAAAATAACCAAGAAGGTTCTTAATCTCGTGATATTTAAGCTATTTTATAATGTATAAACTTTTTTGCAAGGTAAGTCAAACCGTATAAGGAATGGGAAATGTTGTTACTAGAGTCAAAAATATTCTTTCTAAAATTGATGGAAAGAAACATAAGAGTTTGTTTTGTTTAATATATTACCGTACATTCTAGTATTTGAGTAAATAAGATTCATAAGAAAATTATGAACAACTGTGACTGTAATTTGTGTGTTAGGCACAAAAAGTTACAATAATATGAGTCTGTCACTAACCCGATATACTCGTGGATTTTATTGATGTAGTCAAAAACAAATAAAAACCTTTGTTCGAGGTTTCTAGGAAAAGATGTTGCTAAGAAAAAACTCCTTTGAAGGATAAGGATGTAAACCTTCTTTCAACAAAGTGTCCTGTTTTATAAAAATCATACATTCACTTTGACCTCTCTAAAAACCGTTTCTTCTGATCCAAAGAACCAAACGCTAAAGAGATTTGACGCCAAAGACTTTGAAAATATAAGAAAAGGTTCTTCAATGTTTGATAAAAGTAAGGTAATCCTCCCAACACATTATTGGCAAAATATAGACAGAAGTTTCGCTTGTTATTTCTGGAACCCTAATTAACTCTTTTTATAAATAAACTGTATCAGCAAATTGACACACACTTTCTTCCATCAGCTTGTCAATAACCCTTAATATGGGTAAACGTTGGGAGTAGCTTTGATGTTTCATGGGTAAAATCACAAACATTGTAATAACTTTCGAACCGTAATTTTACAGCATTGGTAGTATACCATATTGTTTATGGAACGTACCATAACATACTAAGATTTAATTTGAATATCTTACTAACTAATCTTTACTAAGTAAAAAGTAAACACCTAACTGCAACTAATAAGTCACCAAACAGTAAATGGAATCGGATGAAATTGATGGTAAAAGCTGTTATGTTCATATTTGATGCAGAAGTGTTTTGAACCATTTATTGAATGAGGGTAGTCAGTGGTATCAAACCGAGCAATTCAACAGATCAAATTGAATTTCGCTTAAAAGCTTTTAAAATGAACGAAGCACTTATTCGTCCTCCCATGTTTAAATAAATAACCCATTTGCATTTAGAAGATGAAAGTTGGCTGGTAAATATTTTAATTTTGGTAGTGTGTAAGCAAACAAATGCAGACTGGCAACATAATATTAGGCATTGAATTTCTTAATTTTTCATTAACATATTTTCATATTTATATCATATAAAATACACAAACACATTTTCAACTACTATAATGAGTAAAATTAAATAAATATTCCAATGATAATTTAAAATGCTCTTAAAGTAGTAGATATACATAGATTATTCCAGGAGTTAGACAAATTATTGTTTGAAATATTTGTCAATGAATTGACAATGCTACGTTTTGATAAAGACAATTTTAATAGCATTTCTTTTAGTTGAAGGTTATAATTCACATGCTGTTCTTTTCTTTTTAGAGACCTATTATTTTATTCATGATGGGTTCAAATACTGATTAAAATTATTCATGTATTTTTCTGATTTATAATTAAATGAAAAATAATCATGTGTATATACCCAGTCAGCTCAAAAAGTAAAAAAAAACCTTCTTCGCTTTAACAACGACAAGCTTGGGTTTGGCATTTGGTAGAAGTGAAAATGAATAGTTTTCAAAATGAAAATTTCAAAGTAAACAAAAGGATGAAACAAATATGTAAAATAGATGGTAAAAAGTTGTGAAATTTAAAAGCTATGATGACATTTCACATTTATTAAAAAACCTAGGGTTATTATAGAAGAATCTTTTTTAACTATAGAGTACCTACTTATAGTTAAAATATAAACAATATTATAAGTTTTCAGAAAAACACTCATTTTAAAGTATTTAATTCTTTAGGATTATATTGTACTGTTGAATCTATATTATGATCGATAATTTTAAAACTTGGAGATATCACTTTTTAATTTTACTAAAAAGTATTGTTTTCAAAATAAAATCTTTGAAAGTATTATGAATTGATATTTTGAACCTACTAACTATTCTTAAATATCCCAATAATGTGTATAATTTCAGTTGTTGATCAAGAACTAACGGTAAACCACTGGGGAAAATCACAACTGATCGAAAAAACAAATATTTAATTTCTATATTCAACTGTAAAAGTCCCATTATTGAGATTATACGGAAATTTTGTATTTATACTGTAGGCCTATTTATTTTGTCAAACTACATTCAATTACATTAAAACTACAGTTTTTCCGATCAGGTGAAATAAAAAAAAAACAAATCCACACTCACTATTTTTTTTAGATTTCTGTTGGAATCTGTGAATATAATTCACCATATCTTACTGAGTAGGTAATATCATTGACTATACACAGATATTCTGTGTATGGTCAATGGTAATAGTTTACTCTGATACCTCTTTACACTGATTCAATTCAACCAACATTCGGCCAAATCTTCAAGAGCTGCGTGGATTTTTGACCTATTCAAAACCCCAAATGGGATTAAACTTCGTAACATTGTGCAAACTCCAATCTGGTAATGCTGTTGCGCTTTTAGAATGTTCACATGTATCAAAACTATTACGATATTGATGTATGTTATGGTTCACCTGAAGCAGATTCTTTTGGCCGTTGAGAATACATTTGATCATATTAAGATGAAGAGATTTCAGATCAAACGATTTGAATCGGTTTTAAAAATACCACAACTTTTAGTTTGGTCTTAAAATTAGTTTAAAATATGTAAATAGTCGCAATGTAGTTGTACGCTGATTAAAAAATGTATCTAATTTTATAATACCAGCCAGTATGGGATTGATTTAAGCTTTAAACTGTGCAGAGGTGATGTTACAACAATATTGACCAAAGCTGGGTTATTTTTTATGAAATAGAATTTTAAATTGTATTGAGGAATGTTAAATATAATTATAGTATATTTTAATTTTAAAACAGACCTAAATACATAAATTTTGGTAAATAAACACTGTTTTATCCCCTTTGATATTGATTTTCATAAATACTAATTTTAACAGTTTGTTTGGACTTTCCAATGAATTTGTAGCCATCTTCGGATTTCAAAAGCTTAAATTCAGCATTGTGGTAAATAATATTGTTTTCATTTAATAAATGAAATGTAATATTCTATCAAATTTATAATTCAAACAAAATAAATTCTCTGTGTGGATTGGAAAAGATGAAATAGAATGTCGATGGGCTATTGGAAATATGAAACTGTGAAAGATACTTAAAGCTTTGTTTGCAAAAGCTTTTTCGATTATCTCATTGTAAACAAACGCGTTTAGAAATATCTTTATGTATTTTGCGTTTTTTGTTTTATCAGTTTATGTTCAAATTACATGGTTGTAAGCAAATTTAGAAGTATCAATTTTCTATTCAAAAAGAACTAGCAACGATATATTTAAATTCAATTTGAATATATGTGGACATTACGTACAACTGTATGTTTTTTTTACATTGTATTGAATTACAATTTTGTTATTGTGAATATTGGAATAAAGTGAAAAAGTCAATGTCTTAATCTAAATAATCCAAATTACAATTATACTAGCGAATATAATTATTGAATACTATTGATAACAAAGTGTTGTTAGAATTCTTCCTTTTTTGTATTGACTTTTTAAACATTTTAACTAAAATATATACAGACTGTCCCAAAAGTCCCGGACCGGTTTAATATTTTCCAAACGACGACAGATAAATCAATAAGATTTGGTACATCAACACCACACCTAAAAATCTACTTTTTTAAGGAAATATCAATTTTCTGTCACATCATGGGGACGTCCCGCAAGGAGTCAGAAGGAAATCTTAAATAGAAGCAAAGGTTGACATGTACATCAAATTAAAGGTCTTTACTAGCAGAATATAATGCCGCAAATTTGAACTCAAACGGACAACCAAGTCAAGAATGACAGTGGTTCAAAGATTCATTAAATTTGCATTTGGGGGCACAGCCCTAGGAATCGGAAAACAATTGTTAACGTAAGCATAGGTCGATATGCACATCAAATTAAAGGTCTTTACTAGTAGATTACAATACCGTAAATTCAAGCTCAAAAGAACGCATGAGTAAAAAATGGCAGTCGTTCAAAGATTCAAAATGGCAGGTTCAAGAAATCTTTGAACGGCAGCCATTTTTTACTCAGGAGTTATTTTGAGCTTGAATTTACGGCATTGTAATCTACTAGTAAAGGTCTTTAATTTGATGTGCATGTCAACCTATGCTTCTATTTAAGATTTCCTTCTGACTCCTTGCGGGACGTCCCCATGATATGACAGAAAATTGATAGTTCCTTAAAAAAGTAGATTTTTAAGTGTGGTGTTGATGTGCAAAATCTTATTGATTTATCTGTTGTCGTTTAGAAAATATTAAACCGGTCCGGGACTTTTGGGACAGTCTGTATAATAAGTTGATAGCGTTATGCAATAATTTGACTTCGTTATTTTTGGGTCACAATTTTGAAACTTGTTTTGTT